CAATCTGAGATCATCCTCAGAGAGGAACACTGGTTTAGGAGGAAATTCATACATGTTGTCTAAAGACACATTCAGCCATGCTAGCGCAGAGATACGCAATATATGGAGACCCATAATCAAGTATAAACCGGTGAACTCACGCCAAACGGTCATCTACCCTTAAAAATTAAGTGGAGAGAGGGAAAAGGGGATACATGAAAGCACTCGAATGAGCTATGAAGTGGTCGGAGGAATAGTCCAGTCATCTCCTGAAGACGATTGTGGATACTAACAATCGAAACGCCGTGAAGTAACTTGGCTTGAAATCTTTCAATTTTTATTTCATTTTAATTGTTTAATTTCCTGTTTAAGTTTTATTTTATTTTTATTTCAGTTCTTCATTATAATTGTTATTTCAAGCTATTCATTTTAATTTTCAATTTTATTTGTTCTGCCAGGGATTTAGAATCATATTAAATCATATTAGACAATGGAAGTCTGAAGTAATGGAATCTTCATAATTTCTTAGCCCTTTTTTTGATAAGCTAAATTAAAGCAGTAAGCTATCGGGGTCAATAGTTTTGCCCTTTTTATACGTTTATACAGTTCTCCATTACAATTTTCATATTTATTCAGATTGTAGAAGGTGTAAATATCCGAAAAAGATTGAAAAAAAGTAATGATGTTAATTACAGTAAATTTTATTAATGAGATTACTATTGAATAGTATAGCGATAAGTGTTTTGCTTTAGCTATAAGTATTCGATTTTCCATTCACAGATTGTGATTCATTGCTCTACAAAATCCAAATTTATACAGAATTTGTGTTTCAGTAAATTGCACTCTTTATGTTTTTTTGCAGAGAAATATACCACTATAATTACGTATCTTCTTCGTCAGTCACATCTTTTTTTGCAACCAGTTCCACAGTCACAAAGTTTCTAGAATCAGTAACAAATCAAAAGATTACAACTGATGATGAACTCTACAGGAATACAGTACTACTGCTCCTTCTGTTGTCGCAAGTCTTACCAACTTCAAACTAGATTTGTAACTGCCTTTTGGCATGATTCAGATCCTGATTTATTCAATGACACGTCGTCTTTTCTACTTTGGTAAATACTAGCCGTCAGTTGGAATTCATTGTTATGGCTCAGTGATGCTTTCACTATATTTTTATTTTCTTTACCAACTGAAGCGGAAGTGACAACGACAAGTTGGTACCATTTCTTGTGATCACAAGTGATGGTACCAACTTGTTCTTACTTGGTACCGTCACAAGTGATGAACGTTCCTTGTACAATTAGTTTTTTTAACCTAGCTCAGCAAGAGATTGAAATTTAGATTCGTTTATCACGTCAGTTCAAACACATTTTTTCACGAAGAATCCAACGTTATCATACAGATGTGCGTTTAGATGAGTCAGAAGTTACAGAAATATTCTATAGAAGAGAGACAAATTTCCAATATTTCTTTGATGTTCCAAGCTATCAAGGTTGCACGATATGTTACCGTCTGAAGTTGCTGGATTCCATCCAGCAACTTCAATGTATGTTTGGGGGCAGAGCTCCATACATGAGAACAATACTTCAAATAAGGTCTGATCTGAGCTTTATAAAGTACCAAAAGTTGCTGAGGTGTGTACAGTTTTCTTGTTCGAAATAGTGTTCCAATCTTTTGAGAAGCAGCCTTTGCAATTCCAGCGACATGATTGTGCCAGGACATATTGGTGTCCATTTTAACCTCCAACAAACTTATCGAAGCAGTAAACGGAAATGTCTGACCTGACATCATTATATCCGGTTCGGAGACATTTATTTTCTTGTAGAAAACCGATGTCTGGGATTTTGTGGCATTGTATTGAACCTGGTTACTTTCACCTCAATTCGAAATCACTTCTAGATCCTCATTAAGATATGCAACCTCCTGCTACCGGAGAAGATGTGCCTCCGTAGCCGATGTCGTTGATATACAATAAAAATAGGGTTGGTGACAATATGCATCCCTGGGGAACACCAGCGTTGATGGTGAAATTATTCGAGAGATATCCATCGACGGCCACTTGCAGGAAACGTTCCTTCAGGAAGCTGAAGAGCCATACACAAAAATGATCCGACAAGCCATAACATCGAAGTTTAGCCAGCAAATCCTCATGCCACACACGGTCAAAGGCCTTAGAAATATCAAGTGCAACAGCTCTTGATTCTCCATGTTTCTCGATTGCGTTATTCCAAATATGGAAGGTAGCCTGTTGATCTTTGTTTCCGAAAGCCATATTGATGATCGCTCAAGATGTTGAAGCCTTTTGAATATCTGAGAATACGGTGGTTTACGACTTTCTTCATGATTTTTGATATCACTGATAACAAAGCGACTGGTCTATGGTTGTTTGGAGGATTTTTCTTGCCCTTTTTGGGAATAGACTGAACGCTAGCAATCTTCCAACAAGACAGGTTGAAAAGTCTGCAAATTACTGATGCGAGTTCATTTGCGCACTTTTTAAGTACGATGACGGGCACTTCATCAGAGCCAGACGCCTTGTTGATATTGAGCTATGCACCTGGAGATTATGTTTCCCACTATATTCATCTTTGGAAGGACAATAATGAAATACTTGCTGTACATGAAATATCAAAGAATGGCTGGGTCAACAAAGAATTTTTTTGAATGGATTTAGCTCTTTGTTAAGCGTACTTTCCATCGGGTACAGCCCTGGGCGTATGCATTTTTGCCAACAATAATGAATGCGATTATTTTCTGAAGTCAAAAAACTACCGGAAAATGAACCAGATACATCGCAAAATTGCTCAAAAAAACCTATAACAAAGCAGCTACCAAGAAAATGAAACAGCAAGTCAGACCAAATATACCATAGATGAAACTAAAAGTATGGAGAAGCGCAATTGGGATAATAGTAATAAAGTGAATGAAGAGGCAAGAATTGACAGACAATGAGTGGTGGGTAACTTCACATGCATAATGTATTGGAGTAGAAATTACTCATGTGTATTTTTGTTTGACTCATTATTAGTTTATGGCCAGTTGTGATGTTATGAATAAAATTAATAATTATATTTTATTCCAAAACCGACAATTGTGCATGAGAATTGTGGAGTTACTTTTTAGGTCACTTACGTACAAGTCTAGTAATAAGACTTGTACCAAATGAATATACGAACAATTGACTTGTGAGCGAGTATTGACTGCAATGGTTGCTCAAAAGCTTCTTACAAACTACAATACAAAAATGTTCCAAGCTTTCAAAAAGTGTGGTTGGATCTTAGGTATGATAAGTGGGAAAAGCCAAAATTTAGGATTAGGCCTGGGGCATGGGCATTTGGAAAAACCCACTACTTGTATAGAAAATGCATTGGCAGAGCTTTATAATATAGGGGTAAAATTCCCAGACCGTATACTCTCAAGAAAAATATTGAAATCGCACAATAATAAAGATNTAATGTCAAATTGATTTCATTCGATGTAAAGAATATTTTTCCCAGTATTGCTTGTCAGATGCGAATTTCAATGAAGAACTGAACATAATAAAACAAATTTCCGTCAACAATGATTACGATACCAGTCTAATACATACTCTATTATCAAACAAGTTATACACCCAAGCTTTGAAGGAACTTTACCCAATTCGAAGAGATACGGATAAAAGTTATAGAACTTTAACCTACTTAGGCCAACCCACTACAAATATTTCAGATTTTCTGCACAGCAAAGGTGTAAATATTGCTTTCAAAACCAACAACTTAGGCATGCACATTAAGAATAACAAAGATAAAAGTTCAGTTTCAGAAAAATCGAGAGTGTATAAATTATCATGTGGGCCATGTCCGATGTTTTATATAGGTCAAACTGGAAGAACGTTCAAAACCCGTATAAAGGAACACGAGAATATTTTCCAGAATGGAAAAATAAATTCCATATATGCCACTCATTTAATCACAGAAGGACATGGGTTCAACCATGAATTCAAGAGCCTCTACATTTCCAGAAGAAAGGTTTAAAACTCAACCTGTTGAAGAGTATGGCAATAAACAAATTTAAAAACTCTCAATATCTCATGAATGATCTAACTGAACTTCGTTTGAGTAAGGTATTGTATAGCAAAACACGTGTCGCGGTTTTTGTAAAACCCTTTATAGTGAAAATCATACAATAAACTGAATTAATTAGTTTAAAAAAATACATGCTTTTTACATTAAGTGTTTGTTTTTTTATTATAACAATGATTTATCTAATGACTAGAGTAAAACAGTGGGGATTCACTTTAGTAATGAATTCGTGTAAATACAACGGAAATGTTCAATGAAAAAATGAGATATTTTACTGAGCTTCCTGCAAATTATATACAATCTTATCGTACATACAAATTATATCTTTATCGTTTGTTTTAATATACGAGTAATTTATATTTGTTTTTCAGAAGTAAATCACGAATCTATAAATAGTTCTTTCATATCCATTTATTTATTTGGACAATTCATATTAGAATATTGTGAGGAATCACCTCCTGAAGTTTGTCAAAGTACTTTTTGAATCACCCTGTATACCCTCTTCACATTCAGTAATAACGTTACCAAACTCCAAGGTATCGGTCAAATCCAGGATAGGGTCGATTTGAATACCGAATATAGAGAGAGCAGGAGTTGGCATATTCAATGGGGTCAAAAATTTTCATTATAACTTTCCTCTTAGTCAATACTCTTCTTCTTCCTGGTGGAGGTATGAGCAATCTTTCAATATAAACAATATTGATTTGAGTTATTTTGTACCCGACCAGGACAAAACTTGAGATCACTGGATATTGATGTAATGTGCTCTAACCATGAAAATGAATGCCAGATCCTTTTTTAGAAACTCCATACATTCATTACAACAAACCGAAACTTTCTGTATTGAATCCACCAACGAAAAAGAACCGGATATAACTTGATTGTTCATTGTCTCAAAGATGTAGTTGGTAGAAGGAATTTCAATCCAGATTTTTTAAGAAAAAGTCAAATTATTACCTCAGACGTTACGCCAGCTACGGCCTTAGCCTGAGTCTGCCTCATCGTGATGCAAATCCGCCCGTTTGAAAACTTAATTCACTAAAAATCCACTTCCTCACTTATTCGTTAAACACCGTTCACATCACGAATGGGCCTTAAACGGCCAGTTCACAGTGAGTGATTGTACGATGGAGATATTGAGCTTCATGGTCCTACGAATTAGCGAACTTCCTATGAAGCTTGGAACTTACATAATGGGTAATTGGTAGACGATTTTCTGGACGTTCAAGGAAAACGAAAACAAGTTGATGAGACAAGCTCGTGTGTGGAATTTGTCGTCGATTGACCTTTAGAGAAATGGATAATTGTGTGTCATTAGGTTCATCATGGAAAGTGTGGTGTAATAAGAATTCCTCAAAAGTGAATAAGTGGTGTGAGGAGAGATTTTCCCTGGAGTGCGAAATTGTTTACTTTGGACACTTTGTGTTTCCCGTGATAGGTGAATTGTTGTGACTTTTTTTCAACTCGACCCTTGAATATAGTTTTTCGAACAGATGCAGATAAGTGATATTCGTAGTCGAAAGAAAAAAGGTTTAATGTTTCTCACTGTATTTTTGGGTTTGAACCTTCCACAATCTCGAAAATAACTGGTCAGTAGATCAGTAGAAAATCTGTTCTAAAGTGTAATAAATGACAAAATGGAAAGTTCACCCCCGAAATAGTAATGTGAATATATTACGCAGTAATATGTGGTGATTATATTACTATATTTCTTCAGATTCTCTACTGATTCAGCTTCGTTTATTTTTTAGATTGTGGAAGGTTATAAGAACTTAGGATACGGTTATTTACTATTTGCAAAAGACCTGAAACTTCATATATCTGTCACAACACTGCAAAACTGAGAATTTCTCTAATATCAACCAAACATTATTGAAATTTGGTGCTCTAATGAAATAATGAACTGCAAATGAATTTATCAAAATGCAAAGTATATGTATTCAGTCGTAGTTCAATCTTGCTACAGTTCTTTTATTTGTTCAATGATACAACTCTCTCAGTGTGTGATGAGGCGAAATATTTAGAGGTTTTGCGTGGTTGATATAAAGGGATTAATGAAAGAAACCGGTCCAAATGGGTTCACCCTGGTTTAAGTTAGGTTAGGTCCAAAGTTAGTGGGTCTATTCTACCCTCCACCGCAACCCGCAAGAGTTTATTGTGGCTCACACCTATTCACACTCGACCAAATAAACCCAGCTCCTTAACGAAGCCGATTAGTTTGTATGATGAGTGGTCTTTCAGGTCAGATGGTAAGAGTACGGCTCTGCCAAACTCTGAAAACCGGATTCGATCCCCAGCGGGGCAGGCACAAAGTATGTGTTCTGCTGTTTCATCATTTTCCACACAGAGGTAACACACACTGTATTCCGACAGTTCGAGTTTCTGCATATGATGATTCAAATGACAGTGATCTGTGAGAAAGTCTGTTAGTCTACTACTATAGTCCAACTGTTTGATATCATGCTTCGAAGGGTGAATAAACGCCCTGAAGTGAGCTAATCCTGAGATATTCTGCCAAAAATCCATAATTATTTTTGCCATCCAGGTATTCAATGTTTGTTTAGCAAAGCCTGAAGCGATGCCAGTGACAGGTTCTGGTCCGATGAAGCTGCTTGCAGCATCCTCCTTTGCCAGGAAAGCAGCAGCCTCATTGCCTTCCAGACCAGTATGGCCACTGCTAAGTGTTCCTATCGAGGAAAGTCGTTTTTAGCAATTTGCTACCCAATTTAGACGTTGCTCGGTAGGAGCCAACAGCTTTCAATGTCGCTTGACTGTCCGAGAATATTTTTATGTGTTAGAGGTTGGATTCATAAAGTCAGAGGTAGATCTAGAAGGATATCCATGACCGCTGACGGTGTGGTACTGATGACAAATGGTTCAAAGCCATGGTTGAACCTTGACCTCCTCCACTGTGCTTGTTCAATATGTTGCATATTAACAATTGGCAATTTTTTTAAAATGTCAACTCAAACCTTCCACCGATAATAAATCCAGTGATTTGATATGCATTGTTTTTCATAAAGGTATTTCTTATGGTTTGTTATTAACAGTTTTCAAACAATTTTTCCTGGTATGGGAGTATTTAGTGATGAATGACTTGTCGTTTTGGGTTTTTATACTACTTACTGAAGCGTGTGCGTAAGATTTGTTAACAATTTTTTTTTTGAATGAGTGACTTTAATGCGGATGTCACCTATTAACAATTTACTGAAATGTTTCGGACTTAGGATAATTGGATGTTTCGACAAGGTCTTGAATTTGTAACGTTTATTGTTCTCTCCCAACTCCTACAAAAACTATTTTCACATTATCAGGAATTTGATCATACGAAACGAAAATATTATATAAAAGTTTTTTGTTTCTTACATCTACTGGATGGATTGAAAAGTTCATAGGCTAACACACAGGTAGGTGGCCAGATAGTACATTTTGGGTCAAGCAACTTATGATGCGAAATTTCTGTTCGAAGTGAAAGGTTTGTTGGAATGTTCGAGAGCTAAGAAGCTCTTTCTTTCGATCCGATGTTTTAGAAAGAACAATTGGAGGTAGTTCATTAGAGGTTAATCTCCTCTGTTGACACAGGATTTGATTCTTTGATCCGTCAAGGAAGGTGCCCAATATCTGAAGATTGGAGATGCCTACTAGTGACCTGTCCACCTTCCTGGAAAGGACAGGATAGACGATGACCTAGAAGGACAACTCCTCGGGAGTATGTACAATGGGTCACATGTGACCTAAGTGCTATGAATCTACACTCACCCTCCCTACTCTACAGATACAGATCTAGAAGGTTCCGTTAGTGACACTGACTAGGTCCAGAGGCATCCATCCTTCGGACATGGATACACACCTCTTAGGATGAGGCGTCATTCAGGATGACTCTTACCTCCACGAGTGATACCTTTTTACCGCATCCTAAGCGCCATTTGACTTGTGCAAGTTTCTTCTGAGGGCTAATTAATTTTCCACGCGTGTTTCATGACATGTACAGGTGTCTTCCTAGGCGTAAGTCATATTCTTCTGGACACAACTTGGGTTGTCAGTGAATTGTTTGCCTCTTGTGATCCAAAAAGCTTCACATTCGCATGGAATATGATGATTTTTCGAGTTTGAAAGCCGTGGATTTTTAGAATTTCTTCCTGACGTTTCGCTGGTGCGAGTGCCTAGCTTCTTCAGAGGTTTAACCATCATGGCTTGCTGTGCGATGACTAACTTTTAGGCTTCGTAAAGCGTATTTATGCCTTGTCAAGTAATCATTTGTATTTGTACCTGTACTTGTCCCTGCATTTGTACCTGTACTTGTACCTGTACTTTAACTTGGAACATTAACAATCTTGCTGCCTTTTGTCATTCTGTTTGTTATTCTCGAATTCCTTAAAATGGGGTTCCATATTCTGTTGAGGTTCACCGCTTCTTCTTTTCTGTTGAAATTATCCGTGTGTTTGTGGATCTCTATTGCCTTCCGTACCAGTCGGTTATAGTATCCCTGGTTGGGGGCAATTAGTTCTGTGTTTTCAAACAAAATTGTGTGGTCTCCTTCACTAAGTGCCTGCTCTGCCACAGCTGACTTGTCCGCTTGGCTTAGTCTGCAGTTCCTTTTATGCTCTTTTAGTCTTGTTCCCATGGATTCTTTGGTGGTTCCGATATATACCTTCCCACAAGTGCACGGTATGCGATAGACCCCTGCTGCTGATAATGGGTATCTTTTGTCTTTAGCCGACCTGAGGCTTTGTTGTATCTTCCTCGTGAGTTTGAAAACTGTTTTGATGTCGTGTTTATTCAATTGTTTTCCAATTCTGTCCGTGACCTTAGTGATAAACGATAGATATGCGCGTGCAACCATCTGATTCTTTTTCGCCTTTTGAACCGCGTTCATGGCTATCCTGATCTCGGAGGCACTGTATCCATTCGATCCCAAGGTCACTTCAAGGTGTTTCAGTTCCCTCTCCAGATGTTCTGGTTCACATATTCTCCGAGCCCGTTCCATTAGAGTGTAGATGACTCCTCTCTTTTGGCTAGGATGGTGGTTCGATAGTGCGTGCAAGTATCTGTCTGTATGTGTGGGTTTCCGATACACTTTGTGGGTTAGTCTGATACCACATCGTTCTACTAGTACATCTAGGAAAGCTATCCGTTGGTCCTGCTCAATCTCCATGGTAAATTTAATGCTCGGGTGTTTGGGCGTGTAAGTGGTTTAGGAAACGGTTCAGTGCGTCTCTTCCATGTTTCCAGATGACGAAGGTGTTATCCACGTAACGTAGTCACGAGTTCGGCTTCAATTCAAAAGTGTCTATCGCTTTTTCTTCAAACCTTTCCATGAAATAATTTGCTATCACTGGACTAAGTGGACTTCCCATCGCAACGTCATCTAGTTGCTCTTAGAAGTTTCCCCTCCATTGAAAGTAACTTCCTGTGAGACATGCTCTACAGAGGTCGACGACGTCATTCGGGAACATGAGGGCTAACCCCCTCAGAGAGTCTTACAGTGGGACATTGGTAAACAAGGACACCACATCGAAGCTGACCAGAATATCCGTCGGCTCCAGCGTTAAGCCTTTAATTTTACCAACGAAGTCTGTCGAGTCCTTGACGTAGGAGTTGGTCTTTCACACATGGGGTTGTAGGAGCGAGGCCAGATGTCTCGCCAAGTGGTAGGTCGGAGAGCCCGGGGTACTGACTATCGGTCTCAGTGGCATGTTGGTTTTGTGTATTTTCGGAAGCCCGTAGAGCCCACGAGGAAGATTCAATAAAGCCTCAGGTCGGCTAAAGACAAAAAGAGACCCATTATCAGCAGCAGGGGTCTATCGCATACCATGCACTTGTGGGAAGGTATATATCGGAACCACCAAACGATCCATGGGAACAAAACTAAAAGAGCATAAAAGGAACTGAAAACTAGGCCAAGCGGACAAGTCAGCTGTGGCAGAACATGCACTTAGTGAAAGAGACCAGACAATCTTGTTTGAAGACACAGAACTAATTGCCCCCAACCAGCAATACTATAACCAACTGGTACGGAGGAAATTTCAACAGAAAAGAAGAAGCGGTGAACCTCAACCGAATGTGGAACCCCATTTCAAGGAATTCGAGAATAACGAACAGAATGACAACAGGCAGCAATATTGTTAATGTACCAGGTTCAAGTACAGATACAAATACAGATACAAGTGCAGGGACAAGTACAGGTACAAAAACAACTGATTACCTGACAAGGTATAAATACGCTTCACGACGCCTAAAAGTTAGTCATCGGACAGCAAGCCATGATGGTTAAACCTCTAAAGAAGCTAGCCACTCGCGCCAGTGAAACGTCAGGGAGAAATTCCAAAAATCCACAGCTTTCAAACTCGAAAAATAATGACACGCGAAAGTCTAAACCATTTTGTCAGAATATGATGAGCTGCATCTTTGTTTCAGTGCTTGCAGCTGAAGACTTCGTCATACATCCCTATTTTGTTCAGGAGTCCTCTTAATGGATAGCATCCAGTGAGTAGTCTTGTAATTGTTGTGAGCCGATCTCTGCTCTGCTGAAGCAGTTATTCAGATCTCTTCTCAGACGGTCCCTGAAAAAGGTTTGCTCGTGTGTGCTTCGGGGTGTCTTTTTCCAGTACTCTTTATCTTGCCCATGACCCAGTCTGGTTCCAATCCAAACATTTTGGTACCCCCACAGCTGGTTCAGGATCTATATATGGAGTTGAGAATACGTGTCTGGCATAATGCATGAGTGTCTTGATATCCAGTACACAGTCAATCTATTTCTGTTTGCTAATTTCCTCAGTTCCTCGCGGCATTCCAGACTAGTCTTGATGTCACTTTTGGCTTCGTCAGCGTCCCTAGTGCAGCATGTTATACGCCTAGTTATACGCCCATTTTGTTGAGGCCTCGAATTAATGTTTTTTGCGTAATCAAGGTTACATATATTTCAGTCCAGAAGTCTGGTATGTAATGAATGTATATTCCAGCTCCCGACCCAGGCACGGTTTTCGACCCATGTGTATACCTGCTGTTTCTGCAGAGCATGTTCTCTGGGTGGCTGTTTATTTTTCGCGTAGTTTGTGTCGAGCTTGTATTTTGATGTCAGTTCCTCCAGATATTCCGAAATTTTTATTTTGTTCGATCCTAAGTACGTCGGTGAGTTTTCTAGTCTGAATTGGCACACTTCTGCTTCCTAAAGATGTGAAGAAGACAGAGTCAGCTATTACTCTTACCTCCACGAGTGACACCTTAATCAGCAAGAGTAAGGTATCACTCCCTCCCACTGTAGAGTGATCTTCAAGCTAACTTGATTGATAGACCTCTAATTTTATAGACTTGTCTGTGATATGTTATTTTTCTCGTTGCCATTTATGACAGTTTTTCGAGTCAGTCATTGCAATTATATATTTTGACGTTTCTGGAAAGTTGGTTCAATCACAAAAATGCCTCCTAAACTCACCCCTGACGAGAAAAAAGCTCTGAAAGCGGAAAAGAAGGCCGAGAAGAAGCTGAAAGCGATCGAACGCAAGAAGCAACTGAAAAGAGACAAGCTCGCGCGGGAAATTGAATACAGCAACCTCACTCTCAGAAGACATGAGAAAGATTGGAGACAAATGCTCATAAATATCTCTTTGCCAGCGATGCGGAATGATTTGGAGTTCGCTTGGCATAACTTCGAAAGAGTAATAGACTGTAAGGATTTCACAATCTCAATGTTGATGGACGAAATACGTAATGCGGAGGAGCAGTATCTGAGGAACTATAGGAATCACCTCGAGAATATCAATAAGCTGATTGATTTGTTCGATGAGAGAATGGGAGAACTGCAAATTGAGAATGAGCGACAGGTGAGGTGAAGAATTATTGAAACCACCATCAGGTCAATTGGTGTCTAGTTTCATAATTTTGACTTTGAAATCTTTTATTATTGAAAAAATGATGGAAATTTATGGTGGTTTTTTATTTGGATCATTCAATAAACTGAGTTTTTCAGGGTAAAAACTGTTTGACTTTCTACTTCTCTATCATTAAATAGAAAGAAAGGGAAAAAAAGTTGAGTAAATCAGTCAAAACTCTCTTCAATAATGACTAAAACTGAAAAAATTATTTTTTTTTCATGGACTCTCCTTTCTTATTGCACATCTACAGCATAAAACGAACCTACATACAAAATTTCAGCCACTGAAAGTAGAGTGGTACGGAAAAACAGTGATAAAAAAGGTAATTTTCATATGTAAACGCGATACTTTTATCCACACGGGGGGGCGCCTCAGTTGGAAAATTCAAAAATCATTTCTTATTGCACATTCACGACATAAAACGAACCTATATACAAATTTCCAGCCCCCAAAAATATAACGTTAACTGATAAAAAGGTATTTTTCATATGTAAACGCTCCCCTTTTACCCCCACTGGGACGCCCCGGTTAGAACATTCAAAAATTGTTCCTTCGTGCACATGTAAGACCTAAGAAGCACCTTTATACCAAATTTTAGCTCCCTAGGACTTACCAGTACAGAGAAACAGATAAATTAGTGTGTGTTAGGTGTAGATAGAGTATAGATAGATAAAAAATTGGATTTTCATTTCATTACTATTGCTTTCATTCTTGTAGCAGTGGCATTTTGACAGTTTCCATACAGCCTTGCATTTTCTTGAAGATATAAATGGCAATGAACGTAACCATAGTAATTTTCATTATAACTGACACTCTGAACCTACATTTTTGAAATATGCAGGAAGGTTCTTTGTATAGCGTAAATAAGCAATAAGAAAGGGGGAAAAATAGGGGTTCAAAGACTGTATTGAATTTCGTCAGTTCTGAAGTTAAAAACCTGAAGTTTTGGGTAAATAAAAAAATATTGTTACTATTTGTTTAAAATGGTCTGTCACGAAATTTAATGTAACAAAGCAAATTATACGTGGGCGAAACCGCGGACAACAGCTAGTATAGTATGTTTTCACTTTAAGAATACAGTTACTGAATACATATATGCTAACTGCACTAAGTAATGAATAGCTTCGAGAATCGAATTATGTAGTCCAGTTCCCAGAGACCAAAAAAGGGGTTCACCTTACAAAAGGTGGGGGTAGAAGATTTCATTTTTTTATTTCGTTTTAATGAGTATAAAGAGTAAAATATCAAAAATGTGACTAAATCTGGGCTCGGCACAAGTTTTGGTAGCCGAAAAACCTCGAAATTTTCGGACATTTTTTGGTTTTTTCGCAATATCTCGAAAAGAAGTGATTCTAGCGAAAACCAGTATCTATACAAAGTTGCAGAACATTAAATTTCCTACAAATTTCTACGACTAATACGGAGCGAGCTACAGCATCTCAAAGATGGACCATTTTTCTCAAAATGGTAAAAAAGCCAAATAGCGCCTTCTTTTGTGTATGTTATTGCGACCCATGCATTCTTTGGTTGAATTTTTGAATTATATTTTGGTCCGATAAGGTTCTCCAGACCCCTCCATCACCAACCCCCTACCCCCAATTTAAGAACTCATGAGGAATGAGTAGGTATTTGTTGAAATGAGGTGGTAGTAAATTCATTCGTCATTTTCATAACAATAACGTCTTTTTCGAATGAATTTACTGCCACCCACTTCTGATGCTGCTGCTTACTCACTAAGATCGTTTTACCAAATTCAAAATTGGCTGGGTGCCACACACTTGAACCCCAAACATTATGGGTGAACCAGCCTGGTTCCACAGCATGCAACGAAGAACCCAGCACCCAAAAGCCTACTTGAAAGTGTCTCGTGCACTTGCAGATCTGGATGTCAGCGAGCCTGCTCGTGCGTGAAAACCGGGTTGAAATACTCCAGCATCTGCAAGAAATGCAGAGGCACCGACTGCGACAATATCCCACTGCACTCCTCCGACCTGGACACAGATGGTGAGGAAGAGGAAGATACATTGACCTCATCAACCATGGATGAGGTCTATGAGGACCCACCCACCATGGCACCTGTTCGTGAGGAACAAGAACCATCGAAACGCCTAAGAAGCAAGTGAAGTGAAAGGTTAACTTCTCTTTTCATTGGTCAATTTTTCAATGATTTAACTGTAATTGAATACTTCACTTACACCTCACAAACTTTCACATTTATAATATTGGTATAGATACAGATGGAGCTTCAAAATCACATGAAATCAAAACGAACCAAACTTTTAGGACAACCTAATAGTTTGTTATTGCCCCTTAGTATCTAAAAAGGGATATACGGTCCATTGCCACTTCAAGGTTATTCGACAACGGCAGAAATATGGTGGCAGAACTTTATTTAAATTTTCTGTTCGTCGAAAATTTAACAAATATTCAATTCTGTATCATATTTTTTTCAGATTTCAGAAATACGTCAACATTTTGAGGAAGAATTCGAGAATGAAAAACATGATTTTGAGGAAGACGAAAATTATCTGAAAACCATCATTTACATTTTAGAAGTCGCCAAGAAAACGCAAAAGCAAAACGTTCGGGCTGAGTACTTTTCCAAATTAGAGGAAGAAGATACAAAAAATGTACAGCTAATTCAAAGAGTCAAAGATATTCTGGAATCTGGGCAATTCACAATCCAAACAGAAATTCAAGACTTCGTGAAGAGTTACAAGAATCAAGTGAAAGAAAGGAAAAAGCAGCACGATGATCTGCAAATTCACGATGAAGCTCTTCAAAAACTGCTGACTGATCAACTAGAAAAAATACGACACGCTTATGAAGATATAAAAAGGCTCAAACAGAAGCTGAGTGATTCTCAGAAGATACTGGGACGAAGAGAAAAAGACTTGGAAGTAGAGTATCAGTTTTTCAACGTGGCATTCAATACCTTGAAGAAAAAATTGATCAAAGATCGAAAAAAAGACGAACTCAAGATGATGACCCTCACTGTAACCTACAACGAGACCCTACAATTTTTAGAAAAACTGAAAGAAAAGGGAAAACAGATACTAAACGTAGCTGCGGTTTGCAGAAAATTAGAAACTCAAGAGGAAAAGATACTCCCCTTTCCCGTAATAAATATGAAGGATGTCGCTAAACCTCAGATGGATAACGTCAAAGGGTACGTCCCGCAGCTGGAGTTTTTTTGGCAGAGACTGGGGCAAGCCGATGCATCGAGATACGCGGTAAATGAAGAACGTGAATTTCTAAAAACCGCAAACGAACTTCTGAAGTTTAAAGTACACAAATATTGTCAGTGCTTAAAGAGATCTGGCGTCATTACTCATTCTGCGGCGGGTTCTAAGTATGTCACTGAAGGCGCTTTGGAACAAAAGAAATACGAAATGCAAGATTTTGATCAATTCGCAACGAGATCATTGTTTTCTGAATCTGACTTTGATTGATGTTCACGCAATAAAGAATAGTACCACTATTATAATCATTTTATGATAATTTACATACACAAACGAAATAAAGTTACCAAAGAATATTTTTGAGGTTCCAAAAGTTGAATTATAATAACAATTATTATTATTATTCACGTAGGAAAGAAGAATACAGAACAATATAGTAAGAAGAAACACTTGTTTCGAGAAAATACAATGCAATAAAACTTATAAATAATAAACATACTGACTGACAATTGCGGAAATATGAAAAAATCCAATGAGTATCAAACTTGTCTGAATCTAAAAATACAACAGTTATCCAACAGTATATAAATCAAACCTTGCAACACACGCCATACAAAACAAACATGATTTCCCCCCACCAGAGAACATAAAACTCATAAAACATGTCAACAAGGGAAACCGCATGGACATTTGGGAAAACTTGAACATCCATAAATTTAACAGTCATAAATCACTTATCGAGGAACAAGTACAAATCAAAACACAACAAGACCACTCCACCGCAACCCGCAAGGGTTTATTGTGGCTCACACCTATTCACACTCAACCAAATAAACCCAGCTTCTTAACGAAGCCGATTAGTTTGTATGATGAGTGGTTTTTCAGTTCAGATGGTAAGAGTACGGCTCTGCCAAACTCTGAAAACCGGATTCGGTCCCCAGCGGGGCAGGCACAAAGTATGTGCTCTGCTGTTTCATCATTTTCCACACAGAGGTAACACACACTGTATTCCGACAGTTCGAGTTTTTCTGCATATGATGATTCAAATGACAGTGATCTGTGAGAAAGCCTGTTAGTCTACTACTTTAGTCCAACAACTGTTTGATATCATGCTTCGAAGGGTGAATAAACGCCTTGGAGTGAGCTGATCCTGAAATATTCTGCCAAAAGTCCATAAATCTTTTTGCCATCCAGGTATTCAATGTTTGTTTGGCAAAGCCTAAAGCGATACCAGTGACAGGTTCTGGTCCGATGAAGCTGCTTGCAGCATCCTCCTTTGCCAGGAAATCAGCAGCCTCATTGCCTTCCAGACCAGTATGGCCACTGTTAAGTCTTCCTATCAAGGAAAGTCGTTTTTGGCAATTTGCTACCCAATTTAGACGTTGCTCGGTAGGAGCCAACAGCTTTCAATGTCGCTTGACTGTCCGAGAATATATTTATGTGTATGAGGTTGGATTCATAAAGTCAGAGGTAGATCTAGAAGGATATCCATGACCGCTGACGGTGTGGTACTGATGACACCACTGATGGCCAGACAAGCCTGTCTCTGTAAAAAAAAAAATTTAAAATCTGTTTTTCCGTTAACCAGCTGTAAGCCAGAGAGCTTCGCCTGGGCTGTTTTTTGTAAAGCTCTCGGCCACCAGGCAATTGCACCATAAGTGATCATTGGTCTGACAATCATTACATAAATCCAATAGATTTGTTTTGCCTCCACAGAAGAACCCCACATTAATATTTTGAGCCATATGTGATAAAGCTAGTGAATAGTAAACAGTCCTAACACCTCTAAACTGAGCGCTTATTTGATCTGTCGTATTGCAAATATTGCTTGATTGATGTTTTGCAGCCATGATCGATATGATGCTCCCAAGACAATGTTTTATCTATAATCATAGATATCATGGCTGTTTCCGGGGGTTGGATATTGGTGAGTTTCACTGTCTTCCTTAACGAGAAACCTAAATGGACCTTTTTACTTCCATTCAGTTTTATTTGATTTCTATCACACCAAGAAATCATGTCATCCATGACTGAATCAATGTTGTTTTCTAGCTCCTCCGCAGTATCTCCGGAAACCGATATAGTGGTGTCATTTGCGAATAAGATCATTTATATAAATAGAGAAAAGCAGTGGACCTTAAATGGAACCCTGCAGTACCTCAAGGATAATATCTTCACAGTCACTACCATTTTCCTATCTTCTATAAAAGATCCATAAATTTCCTTATATCAGGTACAACAAAAATTCCTTCTTTCATTTTGACGTTATAGTACAGTACTGCCAACATGCAGATGTAATTTATGACGACCCACCGAATATTTGAATTCGGTGCGTTAAAATATGTCGAGAATGCTACTTTTGACCAAAATTTTCATGCACTGACTGAGTCATGCCTGGTGGGAGAAATCGTTGTACATACCTACTTATTGTATTGAGGGAGGAGCTTCTCACCGGCTATGACTTAGTCCAGCAACTGTACTGAACGTTTTTATCAAAGAAAACGTTAAATGGTTCTTCTCGATTCCACACATCACGATGGAATATATATTCTTCATTAGTTCATTGGAAGAAATCGTACCTAAATGGCTAAATTCTGCATTTTACGCATTCCAATCATATCAAAGAGAGACAATGTTAAGAACTCTCTGGAATGGTGATTCATAAGAAAAACTAATAGGAAAAATCTATGTATAATATTATATGATGTATAACTCTTATTTGACCTTTTTCACCTCACCTAACCTAACCTAACCTAACCTAACCGTTAAGGAGAAAAATAAACAAAAAACTAAATTTGTAACATTCGACCTTTGTTTGGGTTTCTAACCTCCATTGGATTGGTGAGGACTTTCAATGAATTATTTATAACAGAGTAATCAAGCCCCGTATCAATAATTTTTATTTCGATGCATATTATCATGAACCTTCCACTTATTTCACTATTTTGCTTGGACTACAAAAACTAACTTTACATGAACCTTCTAGTTCTCTACGCCACTGAGGATATCAAAGTTTTACTATTCACTCCTAGATGTCGCAAATTCATGTACCATCAGCTATTTGTCAAATATTTAAAGTGTTAATATTTTCCTGATTCATGATTTTCAAAAAATGGCTTCCAACGAAGAATGGTGTTCAGAAGTTTCGTCAAAACTTCAGCGAGAAGATCTAAGAATTTCAACCCTAAACGAGATAAAAGAACACTTCTCGTCTATTTCCCAACTTGAAGTGTCTAAACTAGTGAATATACTCTCTCTGCCTTTAGTTTTTGATTGTTTAAATGATACAAATTCGTAAGTATCAACTTCTAACTGTTTGAACATGACTAATGTAATTTAATTTGAAGGGAACAGGTTGACTTAGCTTGTGAAGTATTGTCACTTTGCATGAACAATCTGAGCTTGGGCGAAAGCACAAACAAATACGATATTCCTTTGGAACGTTCTTTGAACCATCCTTACACATCTGTTAAGCTTATGGCCCTCGGAGAAATATATAGAAATATTTCGAAGGAAGAATCTCTCGTAGACATCTGCAAAAGAATGTCGTTATTCATGAGCATATTGAAGTGTCTTGGTGATAATGATATTGCTGTAGCTAAGAGAGCTTTCGATATTATGTGTGTTATCGGATTGTCAGATTTAGGACTCAAAACTCTGATTTCCAGTGATGGCATGAAGGTAGCGCATCAGGTTATGAATGTCAATGAAGTAGCACGTCTTAGATATTATGAGGTGAGTCTCAAATACATACAGTGGAACTTCAATTATCCAAACTCCAAGTATCCGGAGCCCCAATTATGTGGATTAGTTTTAGAGAAACGACAATTTTCAGTTCAGATTATTTGCAAACAATGCAAGTTGAGAATATGTACTACATCCAATATACTGTAGATTTACTTTCAATTTCAACATTGATAAAACACTTCATATCTTAAATACCTAATTTACAACAGTTGTCACTTGAACCTTTTTCAGGTGTCTTCGCTTCAAAATAAGCCATTTTCAGTGTAGGTGTCATCTCATTTAATCTGGATGATTGAAGTTCTATTGTATCTCAATTTCAAAATGAAGCACACTATTACAGGCAATATAGTACAGATGTAAATGGTCCCTTCACTGTTCATTGTCCATTTCATTGGACTCGCGCAATAGAGTACCCTCATTTTCTAAAGTTTTTATTAGGTACAGACCTATTTTTTCCAAAATTTAGTAATTGTGAGAAAAAAATGTCATTCTTTTACAGTGAGTTTCCCAATTATTTATCATGAGTCTTAACTCTCACTAAGTAGGTACTGGAAGAATGAATTTTTCAGTTTCCAGTTGAACTTTTGTCAACATACAATATAATAGGTAAGAATAGGTACATTTTTTCATAAATGATGTATAGGATTTCCTAAATTTACAAACAAAATCTGAATTACCCTATAACATCTCTTGTTTCTTTCTCTCGTTTTCTGTATTATTGAGTCTTAAACCATTATTCTGCAACACTGCTGAAAATAAATATTTCATTATTATTTTGTTCAGTTCAAAATTTGGCAGAGAATAGCCCTAACATCCATACTATACATTAATTGAACAATAAATCTAATTTCCGCAGAACCACCATCAAGAATTTGTATTTTTGTTAGATGGTGATCAATTTATCCAAGGAGTCTGAATCGAACTTCAATTTGCTAAACTCCACAGGTGTGTTTACTGATATCATAGAAGAATTGAAAAGTAATGATGTATTACTCAGGATGAACGTTGTTGAACTGCTGACCCAATTGGGATTGAGCCATCACGGTTTCATATTTCTCGATAAAAGTGGAGTGCTGGGTGAACTTTTCGCTATGATCGAAGACGAAGAACAGCCATTGACAGTTCAACTTTGTGAACCAGGTACAAACTCCAATGAATGAAGGTTGGTTCCCAATAATGTATTCAAACTTTTGTAGGAATTTTGAAGTTTTTCGGTAATATGGCACGAAATAAACCTATTGAACTTTTGTCGAAGTATCCCAAGTTCTTTGACAGATTGTTTTCAAATCTAGAAAGTGGAAATTTGACAATTGTTGGGATTTCGTTAGACACACTGGGAACGATTGGATTGTCTGGCGCAGGAAAATGTGCCCTACAGTCAACAGGTATGTTGTTCTTTGGGGTAACTTCCCTATTATTATTATCAATAACTGGACAAAAACAAATCTGTCGAGTAATCTATTACATGGATATAAATGAAATGAAAATTACACAGCTGACATAACAAATTATAGATCTATCTTCTTACAAAGTTATATTTGAGAAGTTTTTAAGGCTTCAAACTCGACACAACTGACAGCTTACTCGGGCCATTTCAAACTAATTCATCCCTTACAAAATGGTTTTAGAAAAATTAATGTATCCAGCATCTAATAACAGTATAAACCTTATCTGTGGACGGGTGAAACATTACAGGTATCCTCTATGATGGAGTATAGCTTTTGTGTATGGCAACATACTAAAAATGAAATTGAATACTGTGGGTTTTCATGGAATGTCTCTTGATTGGGCAAGTACCTATTTAGTCAACTGAAAGTAAGGTGTAGTTCTGGACTCTTGTGAAATCAAATACTAAATATAACCATCATATTGGTGTACTGCAGGGGTCTATTTTGGGTCCTCTTTTCTTTATTATCTTAGACTTGAATCTGTACCTTAGTACTGCAAATCAAATGATACTTTACGCAGATGATACAGTATTATTAATATCATTATTATTTCAGTGTCTGACAAATAGAACAATTCGTGAAGAATAGTAATATTACATCACAAGAACTAGTGTTATTATACTTCAAAGATGTACTACATTCGATTTCTCCCTAAAAAAATAACAATTAATATCTAACAATCATTTGAAAAACAAAGATAATATGAAGTTTCTGGAGGTTGCACTCACGTTGAAAGAGCATATCAACAAAGTGTATTCCAGAATTCAGAACAATCACTTATATTATGAGAATAATGAGACACTTCTATGTTTTTGCCTTGGCTCTATCAGCTCTTCAATATGGATTAATATTCTGGAGATCATCTAACCGTCTCAAACGAGCATATATAATTAAAAAAAAAGGATTTAGAACAATAAATGAAGCTCATCCTACTACATCGTGTAAACCATAATTCAAGCAACTTCTCCTTGCCTCTACATATATTGCTTGATAATATTTTTGAAAAATAATGAAGGCACTTTTCTTAGGATTGGTGAATTCCATTCCTATCATAGACAAAGGGAAGGCAACCCTTCTCTAGACTATCATTACTTTAAAACTCCCCGAATTATGGAGAAATGAAATGTTTAAACAAGATTGAAAATCTTATAGACACGAGTTGCACCAGATCACTATTCAGTAAGAGGCTACATTATTTTCTATGGAACAAAGTATATCTTGAGATGATTTTATAATTTTGATTTCACTAGTTTTTGACAACGTAACCAAGTGCAGCAGTAAGGTCTGTTTTTCTATTGTGTAATTTTACCACTATTTTGGACCTATGTATCTATGATTTTTGTATGAATAAATGTGTATCTGTGTGACTATCTCTTTCTCTATCTATCTACCTATAAACTGATAGAGTAATTTTTCCATTTTAAGGAAATAGAATCACATATGCCATTAAAACCGTCATCAAATTGTTACCATCACTTCCAACAGAAGTGAGGATGAGGGCTTTGAACTGTTTAGAAAACTTGTTGAGCGTTACTGAAACAGTGACTGATTTGACGCAAATTACAAGAAAATGGTACTTGATGTTTGGTGATGAACCAATGGAACTGATTTTGAGATATGCTAAAAACCCATTTTCAGAAATAAAATTGGCTGGTTTGGGATTGTTGCATGCTCTAGCAAATCAAACTTGGGGTCAAGAAGAAATAAATAATACTCCAGGTGAGTCCTCTTACAATAATAATGATGGTTAGATACTTTAACACTGTTGCCGTTATGGCAGTTAACTCAGTAAATCTACAGTAAATAACTCCCAATTTTTTTTAGTATCACTTTAATATCACAACATTCAGTTGTTTCTATGTTGAGAAGTTTGTACTTCGGAACAAATATATAATTCATTGGAGTCGATATTTCTGACGAAAAATAACTGAAAACCTATTTCGGTTCGACTGGAAATGAATCCAAGTTGAACATTTTCAATAAAACCCTGTATATTTTCAGACCACTCAAAAGAATATAAAATTATCTTTGAATCGATGTAACACAAGTGACCATTTCAGAGTTTTTTATTGACGGTTTTTAACCTTCTACAACCTGAAAAAAATTGAGGAGAACTTTATGCAGGTGTAGAAATAGGAAACTTTTCAGTTTAACCCGATGAGTTAACACGAGAATTTTAAGTATTATTCACAAATAAAAATGTTATATTTGTCAGTAACTTGTTGCATAGGGTTTTCCGACAAGGGCCCCCGAACTTTGACAATTGATAACGGCCATCCTGTTGAAGCTACATTTGTCAAATTAGTTTTCATTTATTCAGTCTGTTTCGCCAAATTACCATAGACAGATATAACATTCAGAATTGTTTTATCAAAATGAGTGTTCTGTTCAGGCTATGTACAGCTTGTTTCGCCATAATCGTCCTACCGAAAGGACTAAATGCAATGCGATGGATAAATTTGTGTCCACTTGTTCAGACAACGACGTGTGTTTGCTGAATGGGCTCTGGAGCAGTTGGCAACCGACCCTAATTTTCAATTAAAAATCATCTTCAGCGATGAGGCCCATTCCTGGATGAATGGTTACGTGAATAAACAAAGTTGTCGAATTGTGGACGATACCAATCCACATGAGATCCAAGAGCGTCCAATGCATCCTAAAAAAGTCGTCGTTTGGCCAAGCCGTCACTATCAATGGCAAGCACTGTTAGACTTTTTCTTGTGGGGATTTTCTTAATTCACAGAATTGGAAAAAATCACATAATACTTGCAGCTTTTTCTTTGATTCGCTCAGTTTACAAACATCCTGATAGATGTCAAATGTGTTTTAATATGTGAAATATGTCAATATTGTTGATTGACTTCTAAAGCATTCAATGTAGTATAGGGTGTTTTCTGATATCAGTCTTTTCTATAGATATAAGAATGTATTTGCTGGTTCTTTGAGCTTACATCTCTTAGAGTGGGTTTTTTTGGCAATCATTCTTGTTCTGCTCCAGTCAGATGCCCAGCGTCCAAGTTCAAAAGCTTTTCCTGTTAATTGTCTGTTCCCCAAAAGACATTAGTTTTATCTATACCTGATCTTAAACATGGGAGATAAGTAGTAACCCATAGCCATGCAAAATTCTTGTTGAGTCATCCCCAAAATGACGATAAGTTTTATCTATACCTGATCTTAAAAAGCTAATATAGAGGTATCATCCATCTTTGTTCGATGTTTTAAAGTTGTGTCAATTTAGTGAATTTGAAAAACTCATGAATTAAACTCAACTTTATTTTGTTCAAACTTGCATTTGCTGTAATAACCCAAATTGAGGAACATTCCCCATTGGAAGAGTTTTAACATTGAAGCTCACTGGAACATCACCATCGTTATGTGTTTTAAGTATTGAATTACAAATTTATCTATGAAATTTGTGACATTTTTCTGAAAACATACAATTTCTTGATTCGGCTTCGTAATTTTTAAAAGGTTTCTCGCTAATTTCTATCAAGGAGATCCAATTGAACTTACAGTTGGTCATTGGGTTTATGTATTTTTGTAAATCTTAAAAATAATGAGGTTTACTAAATTGAGAAATCAGTTGAGTAATTTTTCAGGTCGTAGAAGGCGAATATCCCCAAAAAAAATAATAAGAACTCTGATTTTCTCCAAAATAAATCACTTTTGTTTGATATATGTTTTCAGTTTCTCATAAGCATTATTTTCAACCATTTGTTCAAACAGCTGACTCGAATTCTTACATGCTTTTCGGATAATTATCACTGTTGAAACTGAATTTGTGTAGATAAGGTTCAGGTGTTTTCGACAGAACTGAAAAAAATGTCAAAAAATTTCTTTCCCCCTGCATATATTGTACAAAATAGAAGTTTCGCTTTGTGTCTCAATTTATATCTAGTATTCCTAAATAAAAATTTCATTATTATGTATTAGATAACTAACTTTATGTGGTACCACAAAATTCATAGAGTCCAAATAGTTTTTAGGAACTTGTATTTTCTTGGAGAAATCTCTATTTGCATCATGATGAAAAATTAGAACTGTTTTCTAATTTTTTTCTTTCAAGGTCTTGTGGAGTATTTGCTGGACCGAAATACTGAAACTGTCAAGGAGTGCAAAGAAATGAAATACGGAATCATCAAGCTTCTTGCGAATAGTAGTATCTTTGACAGTCCAACTACAAATAGACTGAGGGAGTATGTAAAAGAAGGGCCGTTTTATGTGCATGTCATCACTGAAATTGCTTTCGAGGGAAATGATTAGGAAATTTTGAATATTTTTGTATATTTTCTTATATCGTTTGATAGAAAATAAAGAAGATGTGACTTGATTGGTCTTTCTGTGTTGTTCATAGTGTGTTGGAGGCTGAGCAACTTGGATATAAATAGAATAAAATTTTGCCAGGGAAAATGCATATTAGCAAGATATTAGTAGTATATTTTTTTGTCACAGAGACTAAGAAGATACAATCAGAAATCTCGGCAATTCGAAAATTGAGAATGAGTTGCCAAAGACTGTCATTTTTCTATTCGGTGGCTAAAGCTGTTTATTACTCGAATTTTTACCAAATCCACACTTCCACTTCTTCAAATTATCGTACAAAAAGTATTTTTCCTTCCTCGTGATCTTATTTACAATGAACTGTTCAACGTGATTGTATAGACTCAAATATTCATTCTTCTACAGACCTGAAGGTTTTGAATAACAATTTCTGATCATTAAAACACTGAATGTTTTTCTATCACTTTAATAAATAAACGTATAATGAACATATTATGGTATACTTTTTTCTAATTCATAAGGCCTTTGGCTTTGTATTCTAACTATATACATATTGGAATATTTATAGTTCAACATTTTTCATTCAGCAGTGAGAGAAATATTCGTTTTGAGTTTCCTCACTTTTGGAAACTAACTCTACTGTAAGGATATTTTGCTTATAACGTTTAATATCTTTAAATGGTTAAACTTCTGATTTTTCTCTTGAAACCTGGCAAGAAAACAATTTTTGGTTACTTTCCAATCAACAGAAATAAATTGTAATCCACAAACTTTGTTCAAAGGAGGTAGTTATTGTGAAAAATCATCAATATTGGATTTGAAACATAAACTGAAGTTCTCAACTACTCGAAGTGAATTTACTGGGTTGAAAAATACCAAGAAATGATTCAAGGACCCAACAAAGTTTCAGTTTTGACTATAAAGACCAGTTAGGTTCACTCCTCTGAACAATTTTTAACTGGTATGGCCTACAATTTGAAAAAAGAAATAACTGGGTACCTATATAATCAGTTCATATAATTCAAATGCAAATGCTATGTATGATGTTATTCAATTTCAGTTCCTAAATGAATAATGTATCACTTGCTAAATTTAACTACCAGTATATCTCATATAAAAATAAACTATTTACATTTTTGGGTTAGAACTTCAAAGTCTATGACTCATTAAAATTCTAACTGGCAAACACTGCTAGAGTTATTGGTCCGAACATTCGATTCATTAAGATTGGATAAAGAAGTCTGCAGATGGAAAAATTGACATCAAAAGACACATGTCACAAATCAACAATTATAAAACTATTTCAAGAGTTTGCAACGTGAAATTTCATCATAATTTTATTAACACACACGTCTTTGAAATATATAGTTGATGCTGCTGATAATCTACTTGGGAATCACTATAGAGGATCAGCTTAGTTTCAACAGGAGATGATCAGTGTTTCTGGCTGCATGAATATAAAGAGCAGCAAATTGAAAGGTCAAAGAAAAAGATTATGCAATCATCGCTTTATATTCCTTCAACCCTAAGAACTCATCCTTCGTAAACTAGAAAATAGGGAGAAAGAAATAAGGCATATCACTCCAAAACTGGGAGGATGAAATCGGCGTCAGACAGATTGAAAATCGGCAAAACAAAGGTCACTGCAGATGTTTCAATTAATATCATGAATTCAATAACTGCAAATTGAAGATTATCTTGTTATGGCATTAAGCAAAATTGGCTAGACATTAGAGGGCAGGGATACTAAAATGACTATTACTGAACTTTACTAAATTGCAGGAAAATATGATTGAGGAAAGGATCATAGTTTTTAGATAGGTTGTTGCTTGGAAACGGGGTGATTGAGAAGGGGGTTGTTTATTAAAATTGAAAAAGTAGCGTATATCGTGGCAGAGTGTTCAATATCAATTTTATAAAGTAAAGTGTTTTCTTGTGTGAATTCAGGCGACCAAAAGCTAACAAGTTCAGCAGAGACACGATAAGGGATTTGGGAAAAACAGTGGCAGATACATTATATTCGATAAGAAGAATGCAATGAAAATAGTTTGCTGTACATAATATCTGCCGAGACCATATCTAGTATTTGTCTGATAGCAAACATGACACTTCTAATATTCACACCAGACTTTAATATTTCCAGATCCTAGAAGTTAATTTCCAATCCATAATTGTCCTTTTCAGCAGTGATGTTACACTTTATATAGTATAATGGTGATCTCTTGAACATGAAATCGCTATTTGCCTCCAGAAAACTAGGCGATTTTGCAGTAAAATGATTGTCAATTTAATTACAACAAATAATAAACATCAGATGTCGAAATAGAAATACGAAACTAACCAATTTATAATTCTTGGTAGGCAGAGATTCCCCTGTATGTATGTAAGTATAATGGATGAGTTTGCTTTGATGACTGAGTTCGACTTTGAATCAAGCAAAATATAATGATCCATCCAAATAGTCGATTTAACTTAGGCTACAATACCAACTCGATTCAACTCTCAAGCGCATCTTCACAATCATACATCAACAAAAAGTGTTTCCCCGACTCTACCACAAGGGCGCTGACCCGCCCCTTTCTACGCTCTAGCTGCTCTGTGGGAGGTTCCTTTGTCATTTGTGAAAACTTTCGATATTATTCTCAAAAGAGACACAATTGGCGATTCGTACATAATCGAAACGAAAAATGCCAGCAGGAAAGATGCCACCAGCTGTCCAAAGTAAATGATGACGGTGACGATGCTACCCAGGTGAAGAGGACTGTCCATGCTCATCACCATGATTCTTATGGTTATGGGATGAACGAGGTAAGCGCAGTATGTTACTCGGCTGAAGGGGTACAGCACTGTCGCTGACAGTATTTTGTCTACAAAGCCTGAAACAGAGAAATTCAATCAAAAAAATAGTTTCCAGAAATATTCCATTTTCCGTTTCACAGGATATCCATAGTAGGTGACAATTACTGGACTAATACTATATAAAAAACAGTTGATTTAAATAGCCAATTAAAATTATGACCAAAATTATACCTCACATTAAAAATTTACTTTTAAAATTGGCTAACCCACATTTGGGGTCTTCGCTGATAATAGTGTTAAACTCATCAAGACATCCATGAATAATTATATTATACGGAATATTTTTCAGCGACATTTCTCTAACGTGAGTTGGTAATAATTTGAAACCCGTTGGAGGGGACGATTTGGGCCTGGATATTGGTATTTCCAGCAAAGTTGAATTTCTTATACAGTGCATTCCTTTTTCAGGAAAAATAAAAAACACGTCAACATTAGTATACAGGGGGACACATTTTGACATATTTACATTTGATGTCATTCCCCCTATCGCACCCCCAGAGCATGTCACCAATTTTTTTAATGGATCACCCTGTATTGATTCGCATTATCAGACGCTCCATGATGAGCAGATTTCAACAAAGTACAAAACGTATGGTCTAAAAGCTTATGGTTCGGGAGCAGGGCCGTAGCGAAAAGAAAAACCGGGGGGGGAGGAAATCCAAATTTTCCCAACCCCACCAGCAAAATTTCCCAACTTTCGAAAAAATGAAAGCCAAGGGATTAGTTACTACTATAATATATTATTTTCTAAAATGACCCCATAGAAATAAATCTACAGGAGTGAGATCCGGAGACCTTGGTGGCCATTCTGTAGAACCTCTTCTGCCAATCCAGCGACTATGAAAATGATTATCCAAAAATTATCGCACTATAGCTGCATTTATATCCTCCTTAATTGTCCTATTGATGCACGGTATTATTCGATTCTCCAACGTATCCAAATATTTACCACTAGTCAAATTACCATCGATAAAGAAAGGTCCTAAAATTTCTGCTTTTGAGGTCGTTGGGTATGAACTGGGCGGTATAAATGAGGATTCGTATCACTCCAATATCGACAATTTTGCCGATTCACCTCCCCATGCAAACTAAACGTACATTTATCCGAAAAACAAATTATATACAAGAAATTCTGATTCAAGTTGATCCGTTCAGTCAGACTTGCACAAAACTCGATACGTCTATCAAAATCATCTTTGTTCAATTCATGAACTAGTCTAATCTTACATGGATGAAATTTGTACTTATGAATTTGTACTTATGAATTCCTTATTCTCGAGATAACTTATAGTAAGAGATTGCGAATTTTCCATTAGTCCAACGTGCCCTAAGACTGCAGTGCAAATAGCTTCATCGTTGACAACTCCTGAACGGTTATGCTTTTTATCGTTAATAGTTCCAGTTTCCATAAATTTGTTCAATGATTCTGAAACGTATTTGTGTCGTACATTTCTTCCTGGATGATTATCATTGAACATACTGGTAGTACAAACTCACTATTTCAATCAGTTCTCGACGCTTATAAACCATTGCTTCTCAAGAATTCACAAAAACAGAAACACCAATTGTAACTTCACCTGGTAGGTACTCGTTATTGTAGAATAAGACAAACACAAAATGAAGAGAATATCGAATTCAAACTTAACTAGGCAAAATAAGACTTTTTTGAAGTAGGTATACTTCACAAAAACACCAATGAAACCAAGGTAACAAACAGATTGTACAGAAGTTCATTCAGGGTGGCTCGTTTTCAACTCAAATAATTTTTAGCTTCCAAACTATGAGCTTCAGACCATAATGTATTCTACTTTGTTGATTTTTGTTCATCATTGAACATTTGATAATGCAAAACGATTGATCCATTAAAAAAAATAGTGACATGCTCTGGAGATGTGATAGATCAAATGTGAATATGTCATAATGTTTCCCCCTGTATACTATTGTTGATGTGTTTTTTATTTTTCCTGAAAATCATTTTTCCAGAAGTTATTCAGGATGACTCGTTTTTAACTCAAATAATTTGTAGCTCCCGAACCATTTTATTTTCCTTGGGAGCTGTTTGACTTGTCCATTTAATCCAAGTCTCCAGGAAACACTGCAGCCTCTTGGGCTTATTGCGTTTGTTCTCCCATCTTCTCATGACACCCATTCCATCAGTCTCGTTCCCTGTACTAGTTTGTACAGGTTCCGTGTTGGATGTTCGTCATATTCTTCTGGACGTAATTTCATACGTCCATATATTGCCTGCCTCCTGTGATTCAGTGCCTCACATTCGCATAAGATGTGTAAAGCTGTTTCTATCCCTTCGTTGCATAATCTGCAGCTGAGGTCTCAATGGTACATCCCCATTTTATTCAGGTGTTCTCTGAGCGGGCAATGACCAGTGCTTTATACCCATTATGGTCCAAGAGACATAGTAGCTCGTCCATTACAAGGTTCCATAACAGAGGGGATAGAACCCCCTCCTGAGGACAGCCCCTTGCTACCTGTGCCACGACTGTTTCCCCCATAATGGTTGTATATACCAATCTTCCCCTAAGCATGCAGTCTATCCACCTACAGCTTGTCTTGTCGATCCCTCTTCTCCTCGACGCCTGGATGATTGTTTCTAACGACGTATTATCAAATGCGCCATCAATGTCCAAGAAAGCAGCTAAGAGTACTTCCTTGTTTTTGTAGGTATATTTTACTTTTTCTGTTACCCGACGTAGAGCCGTTTCTGTTGACATACCTGACCTGTATGCATATTGGTCTCAATGTAATGGTCTGATAGCCAGTGTTACGTCCCTAATGTGCGTGTCTAGTAGTTTTTCTAGCGTTTTCAATGCAAATGACATGAGACTAATTGGTCTCAAAGTCTTCGCCGAGCTCCCGAACCATAAGCTTCAGACTGTATGTTTTATACTTTGTTGAAATGTGCTCATCATGGAGCAATTGGTGATATGCTCTGGGGTAGCGATAGGCAAGTAACATTAAATGTGAATACATCAAAATGTGTCCCCCTGTATATTATGGTTGACGTTTTTTTTATTTTTCCTGCAAATCTTTGTACCAAAAGTTAATCAGGGAGCCTCGTTTTAAATGGAATGCACTGTATATTATATTTGTCTTTTTTTCTATGTAGATAATCGATATTTGTCTGATTTTACAAGCTGGTAAATATAATTTTTTTTCTGATTGATTCGGCCGTTACTTGAAGAATCATAGTAATTTCATAAACTACACTTGATCTTCACAAACTTCATTTTGAAAAATTTCACATATTTTGCTATCACAGTAGCTTTTCCATACTGAATACTTTTAATACTTTGAAGGGATCTTTGCAGCTAGTGTGACTCTTTGTGTCGAAAGATGCACTACTGCATTGATTGGAGATATATTTTGCAAATTTCATTGTAATTTATCGTCATTTCACTTACAATCTTCTGTGAGGTTAGGTCAAAAAATTCAACTGAAGTTGCTTTGCGGATTCGAAATTAGAAAAGGGATTTTCGATCATAAGCTTTTTTGGTAAAACTTCATCATCCCACAAAAGAAGATGTGTTTGTTATTACATACCAATTCATTACTGAAGAACCAGTGGGGTTCTTTTAAAATTTCTCTTTGAGCGGAGTCAATTTTAAGTGCGACGATTGTTCGGTTTGGCAGTGAGATACTGGCATCCACATACATTAAAGAAGTACCTTCAAAATCATTGACATAGATTATATGAACTAATTATATAAAGGTAACACTTCCAAAATACAAATCAGGAAATTATAAAACAACAACAAAAATTAATTGGCGCTCCGAGGCGACTTCATTGATTCCAGTGGCGCATTTGCTTTTCAGCTGCTTGAAAACCCGGAAAAACCTACCAATGTCCTCTCTCTCGTAAAACAAAATGTAGGGTGTCTCCAGAGGCTCCAATAAATTCAGTACATCGCCAGAACATTTAGTGACACGACTATCGTCAAACTTAAACCAGTCCGTTTCGTCTTTGACCAAGGCGTAATGATGACCAGATTCAACGACAGAACCACACTGAACAATGACTGCATGAAGATTATAATAGTGGTCTGCTAGATTGAAGTTTTCATCAATTTCGAACCTTCGTAAGAGTTTGGTGCTTCCGTCAGCGGTTGAGTCATGTTTGAAGATCATCAGTGATATTATTAGATTGACTAGTGCCTCAGCTATACTTCCTTTCTTGTAACAGTCAGAATCATGAGTATATGGTTATGAAACCATCCCAATGGAAGAGCCTAGAAGAGCCAAGATCAAAAAAACACGTCAAGTTCGATCAAATGTAAAGAATTTGCCCACTGTTTTCTTTTATTATCGTGCCGTACTGCATTAGGAGTTCTTGCCGTAAGGTCGTACGATCAACAAGGGATATTAACAACACTCGGCCAAATAAACCCAGCTTCTTAACAAAGCCGACTAGTTTGTTTGGTGAGTGGTCTTTCAGGTCAGATGGTGAGAGTACGGATCTACCGAACTCAAAGAATCTGATTCGGTCCCCAGCGGGGCAGACACAAAGTATATGCTCTGCAGTTTCATCATTTTCCAGACAGAGGCGACACACACTGTCTTCCGACAGTCCAAGTCTCTGCATGTGATGATTCAAATGACAGTGACCTGTAAGAAGGCCTGTTAGACATCGTAGTTCATCCCTACTGTAGTCCAACAACTGTTTGGAATCAAGCTTCGAAGGGTGAATGAACGCCTTGGAGTGAACCAGTCCTGGAAGATTCTGCCAGAAGTCCATAACTCTTTTTGCCTTCCAGGTGTTAGGGGTTTGTTTGGCAGAGCCCAAAGCGATGCCAATGACAGGTTCTGGTCCAATGAAGCCGCTTGCAGCACCCTCCTTTGCAAGAGAGGCAGATGATTCATTGCCTTTCAGGCCAGGAATCCAGACCAGAGACTTTCTGTTTAGTCTTCCTATCGAGGAGAGTCTTTTTTGGCAGTTTGCTACCAATTTAGACGTTGCTCGGTAGGAGCCAAGAGCTTCCAACGCCGCTTGACTGTCCGAGAATATTTTTATTGACTTGTGAGTGAGGTTGGATTTATCCAATCTCTCNTTGAAATGTTTGGATCCAGTTTATTAATCTTTCTAGAATGTGTAACCCTACATTTAAATTTATTTCTTCCATAAGGCCTGAAAAATATACGCCGGGTGTGGACCTTACAACAGACATATCATACGTTCTTCTCACCTCCGTAACCTGTCACACATGCGACGACAATCCAAGATAGAGCAATCGCCCAAGCTGAGTGACTGAGGGCGCTATAAGCTGCTCCAACCCATGGGGCTAGTCTAACTTCATACAGGCCATATATCATTGCAAGGAGAATTGCTGAAGATGCTAACCAACCAAATGCGACGATGAACTGAAAAAAAATAAAAATCATCAAATTTTGATCGTGGAAACTTCTTGAAAATTTTTAATTAGTTATGTCTGAACTAACTATATAAAGACAACACTCCCAAAATACAAATCATGAAATTATAAAACAACAACAAAAATTAATTTGAGCTCCGAGGAGACTTCATTGATTCCAGTGGCGCATTTGCTTTATCAGCTGCAGGAAAACCCGAAAAAACCTGCAGTACTACATTATCTGGACATTATTGTGGACTGATTTGAACAATTATCCACAACTTTCAAACGAATCCTTTGTATAACTATGAGTTCAAAATTTTTTCAAAATCATTCGAGATTGAGGATAAGAATGAAGAATTATATTCCGGTGATGAATTCAAAAAATTACTGGATTCCGTGAGAAATATTTCTCAAATACATTGTCATTTTCATAATTTAGCGTAATTTTGCTAGTCTATAATTTTGTCATTCTTACCTTCGACATATGTACTCTGCAGTTTTTCTTGAACAGAAACCAACCGGTGCACATTCCAATAAGGTAAGGACTCAACCTCGTCCAGGGTTTGTCATATATTTTGTCGAATAGTGCCAGTGGGTCATCGGATCCAGGTATGTAACTGTTGGCGTAGGCTACATAGCCAGTAGTCATCAGCGAACTCATTATGAATGCCACAAGCAAGCCTGCTGCACTTTTGAAGTGACTGTAAAATTAATGAAATGCTATATTTATATTTTTATTTCAATACCACAGGACCTCGAAATTTCATCAATGAATTTCCATTCTTCAACGAAAACTTTGTTGTGTTGAAGATATTTTCCGGACTTTTTTTACCTTGGTGCGCAGGTTTTTATGCCTGACGTTTCGTCTACTACTGAGGTAGATATTATCAAAGGCGTTGGGGGGACAAATTTTGCATAGTAGACGAAACGTCAGGCATAAAAACCTGTGAACCACGACCAAAAAACCCGGAAAATAGCTGTCACTCAGTTATCTACGGCCGTGAAAGTTTACATTCTTTGAAAATCAGCATTATAAAACCACGAGACCGTAAGACGAGCTGGTTCATCTATTGCCGATTGCTCGATTGGTGTTGCTCAAAACTAACAAGGTTTGAGTTTGAGAGAATGGACATTTATCTGAGAAAATTTTTAGGTCGAGTGGTATTCGTAAATATTATTTCCTTAAATATCCTCAGCTGAATGCTCAATGAATTCCTTATTGCTCGTAAAATCATCAAAGAAAATCAATTCGTATTTCAGGATAAAAAGAACACCCAAGATGCAATTTTTCCTTTCTGTATGAGGTATATTCAGATATAAATGCCGGAGATGTAGCTGCAGCAGAATTTTGTGACCTAAAAAAAGGCTTTTGACTGTGTAGACCACAAAATACTTTTGCGGAAACTACTTTGATACGGCTGTGAGGGAGTTACTTTGGATTGGTTCGACTCCTACCTAACTGGGCGCAGTCAAGTCGTAAAAAGTGATGTAACTTCAAAATATATTAATGTAGATTATGGAGTGCCACAAGGATCGGTTTGAGACCCACTCTTTTTCCTGTCTGTATAAATGATTTACTGTGTAAAAACATTTCTGGAAAAATTACTATTTAATGGCATGATAAAACTGTTGGAGATCTGAATAATGAGATAATCAGAGATATAAATGAAATCAAGTCTTGCTGCGACNAGGACTCCAATAATCAGAACAACCATCTTGCCAGAGTGATCTGGATAGAGTCTGCGGAGTTCGAAGAGAAAATCTCGATATTTTATCCGTTTTTCCTCCTCTTTTCTGACGATATTCGTCTTGCCAGGAGCTGAAAACTCCACGACAAATATCGTTTTGGTCTGGTGGTAGAGAAGGACTACATCAGGTTTATTAGCTTGTATGAGCCTGCGGGTGGGGAACGAATAGTTGCAATAAATTCGGCACTTCTCGTTCCCCACAACGGATTCAATAACCCCTGGAGCGTAGGGCAACACCGGTGTCTCGTCAATACCGTATTATTATTATTATTATTCATCCTAATATATTATTCATTATATCTGTTACTGTTGACTGAGTATATGAATTTGGTTGGAATGCATATTGAAATTTATCAAAACCAATATTTTTCTTATTTACTTTATTTAAAATCGCATCAACCATCAGGGTTATTAGCGACTGAACAATGCACCAGTTGCAGTGGTATTATATAAAGTTGAGAAAGTTGACATTTTCTGAAAACTTTACAATATTTTCAATATTACACTTAGGTCCTAATGCGTTGTTAATTGAAGGCGGGATGCCATGAGTTGGTCTTTCATTGGAATATAGTGATAATCATTAAACTAATTAATGATGTACTCAAAAACAATATTTTCAATTACATCAATTACTTCACCCCCATTCAGATTTTCACTTTCATATCGTTGTAAAATGTGTGAGGGTACAAGCTTGTGTTTATACATAATATTTGTTTTTTCGACACTTTCCAGGAAATTTTATATTTCAACTTGCGACTAGTTTTATTGTCATCTTTTAATTGATTTGCAACAAATATTCAACTATAAAGTTGTCAAATAAATCCATCAATCAATCTATTCATTCTGAATCTTCACTCTTCACTGAAAAACATATTGAGAATGTTAAAACCATCGAAGTAAAGAATACCTATTGAACCGTTAATCATTATTATTATTATTGCTGGGGAATTCCACTCAACCTCGCTGCAAGAATATAAGCCTACGTGCGTTTGTGAAAATACCTTGTTGCTAATATAAGCATCACGGCTCCAATAATGTAAAACTGGGTATCGTCGGAGAGGTACCAACTCCACAGCATGCACTGCAAACAAAAAAAAAGTATCAATCCAGGATGTAAATTTAGAACCGCAGACTTGTTTTTTGTGCGTCATGAAACGCAATCCGTTTTCGCAAAATCGATGTCGGGCAGTCAATGCACTGCCCTCCTTTTATTTCCACGAAACAAAAATTGGATGAAGCGAATCTATAATTTGGTAGTTCCACATTTCGCAATATGTTTATACAAGAATTNGTTTTTTTCTTAAAATGGGTCTAAGAATTACCTACTTAAATATTAGCATGTGTTTAAGGAACACCCTGTATATTAAATATTACTGGAGTTTTTCCCAACACCAAACCGTTATTTTAACACCTCGACACGTGTTTCGATCACCAAGTGATCATCTTGAAGAGGAATATCAAACAGTTTGATCTTCCCGTTGTTGGTTTGTTGTGTTTCGATCACCAAGTTATCATCTTGAAGAGGAAGAGCAAACAGTTTGATCTTCCATTTGGTGGTTTGAGGTTATTTTAACACCTTGAGGTGTTATTGTAACACCTCGAGGTGTTATTTTAACACTTCAACACGTATTTCGATCACCAAGTGATCATCTTGAAGACGAAGATCAAACAGTTCGATCTTCCAGTTGGTGGTTTGATGTTATTTTAACACCTCGAAGTGTTATTTTAAAATCTCGACACGTGTTCCGATCACCAAGTGATCATCTTGAAGAGAAAGATTAATCAGTTCAATCTTCCTCGTGAAGGTGATCACTTGGTGTAGGAAACACGTGTCGAGGTATCAAAATAACGGTTTGGTGTTGAGAGAAATTTGATGTAGTAATATTCATTACTACACCAAAGGTTCCAAACAGTGCATCACAAGTATACCAAAACATCATCCACATATCTATGCCAATACAAGAAAAACTCGAACAAAGGATGCTTAAAAATCAACTTATTTAGGTTATCCATGGAAATTTCCACATGTGAGGAACTCAACGAATTTCTCATAACTAAACCTCTTGAAAAAGAATAAAGTTGTTGTTGAATTGAAAAAAAAATTGTTTGAGATATAACGACAGAAGGTCAATGATTTCTTTTTTCAAAACTGGGTTCACTCGATTTTTATTTAATAATTCTATAACTAAAGTATTACTATCATCAGAAGGTATGCTGGTCAATAGTTATCAAGTGCATCACAAGTACTGTCGATATTATTACACATTACTTTCGGTATTTTGATCAGAAATTTCAAATACACCTGACCCAGATTGAAATAGTGTTTAAGACCCATGACAATGTATTTTCCATTGACCTCTGGAACTCTTGGAGATATTCATTGTTCATGTGAAGGGAGAGAGATAGATCCCGATTTGAGAATGATACTGTACTCTGCTTTACTGAAACCAACAATCAAAAACAACTCAACTCAACGAATAGGTATCAAAAATTCTTCAGATTACCAAAAATCTGTCCATCTGAGATACAGTTTGCCATTCTTCAAATGCTGGGGAGAACAATTTCCCTTAGGACTGGAGGACACTTCATTTCACTTTATCGGGGGTTTGCGATTTCTTATTAAACCATATACTCTGTTCCCAAACAGGAAAAAGTAGCAGGGAGCCAAATCTGGTAAACACGGTTGCTAATGCATGATTACGGTGTTGTTTCTGGCCAAAAACTTATGAACAAGCAATAACGAGTGAGCAGGTGCAGGATGTAAAGGCCAAGAATTGTTCTTCCACAATATTGGACGTTTTCTTCGTATTGCTTCTCGCAAGCAACGCATAACTTCAATAATAATTCTTATTGACCCTATCGCTGGCTCAACATGAAAAACCGTATGATTCATCATTTGGGTTGTTTCTTTCATGAAAGAATACACAAACTAATTCTGCGTGAAGATATCCATCCGATGAATATTAGAAATGAAAACTATGCCACGACTTCGCACTGCACAGTTTCAGAGATCTTTTTTTTCAGTGTTGTGAAATTCTAAAATGCATTGCCTGGGCCAATTGAGAAGATTTAATATCAGCAAATTCGAATACCAATATAAAAATTATATCTATGATAGTCAGTAATCTCAATTTATGTTTATTGGACAGATCAATTTGATTCAACTCTTTAGAGGTATTTAACAAATTTTTTTTCCTCTTCTGGTACCTACCATCACCATTATTCGTTTTTTTATTTTCTGTATGTTCGTGTTCATTATGAAGTGGTGCTTGTTGGTTCAGTTTGAGTAGCTCTGAGCTAGACTTCGCCAATGAGTACCAGAATCTTCTGTAACTTTTTCCTCGTTTCTCTAGATATTCTTTTTTGTATTTTCAATAAAGTCGATTTATTTTTTTTCCACCCAGGTTTGCGCTGGTCAGGCTCTATCCCCCAAAGCCCCGATACATTCAGGAGGGGGCGCATTTTCAATCAACGCCACTCCCCGCACCGTAGGGTAAGTGATCATTGGGTCCGAGAATCATGTGCCCTGAGCAAGCGCAGTGAACCAAGAATGACAGCCTTCAGCATTTGTCCTGCTAAGAGGGCTTCATTCCACCAAGGACTCCAATAATCAGAACAACCATCTTGACAGAGAGGTCTAGATAGAGTCTGCGGAATTTGGAGAGAAAAACTCGATATATTTTCCGTTTCTTCTCCTCTTTTCGGTCGATACTCATTTCGCCAAGAGCTGAAAATTCCACGACGAATATCTTGTTGCTCTGGTGGTCGAGAGGGACTACATCAGGCTTATTAGCTTGTATGAGCCTGAGGGTGGGGAACAAATAGTTCCAATAAATTCAAGCCAATTTATCATTATCATTATCAATATATTTACCTTGCAAATCGATAGGCGACCAGTCCAATGAAGTGTAGAAATCCTGCCACAAACCCGTTTCCCTTATTCAGTGTGTCCAGTTTTCCTTTGGCATTCGTTCTGAAGTATAGAAATGAGACTAACAGCCCACTCGAAAAAAAGAAGGTGTCCACACTGTATGTTCCATTGGTGATAGTTTGGAACATGAATTCCTTCTGTACAACTCTTCTGAACTCCATATTGTCTAAAATCAATGTTAATTGTTTTGAAAATATGAATATTAGCACTTTGTAATTACTCTACTTGGTTTTAAATAATATTAAAACGTAAGAGCATTGATTGTTTTGAAAACAATTAGATGGCCTTACTGAAATGAGGCATCACGATATTCATTTATTCAGGCCAGTCGCAACTCACCTATACTGTAGGTTAATGGACTGACACCTATCAGAAAACAACTATTCCCCTGGCTAATATCCCGAAGGGCGTTGGATTATATATAACAGGTGTCGGTGCACTGGTACCAGTTCAAAAATGAAAGCATTTTATTCTACTTTTGTTTTTGTTTTTCTCCATGTAAGATGAAAATAAGACTTTGATTTCAATTGTAATGTAGCAAATTTTTCAAAATTCTAAATTAGGCATATTACTCACCTGAATATTTAAAAGCAAGAATGCAAGTGTGGCCCAAAATAACCCAAGCCATGCTTATGGCTTTCAAACCGTGTATAACCGACAAAGTATCACTTCCTACAGATTGGTCAAAAATATAGTTAATATTTATTCTCACTGAAAATGCCAACAGCATTTCTCTCATAATCATTTCTGAAATAAAAACAGTTTGAAATGGACCATAAAAACCATAACCATTCAAAATAAAAATCGAAATAGGGTCTCAGATTTTCATTATCTCCAGTCAAAACTATGCAATTAGAAAATAAAATGTCGACAATTGTTATGTTACGTATACATATGAGAAATGGCGATGACAACTCGCCTTGAGAAAATACCGTCTAGAGAAGCAACAGAAAGGAAGTCATATCACTCAATTTCTTCAACGTCTCCAGAAGCCTAATAAGCTTATTTCATTCATCCCATCTGACACTCATTTCAACAATCTTGCTCCCTTCACTAGTTTCTTTCTAAAGATCCTTTGCTGGATGTTTATCTTACATATCTGAATAAAATTCGGGATATTTATAATTGCTTACCTCCTGTGATCTAGTGCCTCAAACTCGCATGAAACTTGAACTGTCTTTGTTACATTTTCTTTATTTTCAATGTTTTAATATTAACATTTGTTCACAAAAATGATTTGAAGCTTTAATAACTTCTAATTATTAAGGGTGATTTTTTGAGATTTTTTGAGAGGTATAGGATTTGATTTTCAAAACAACACAAAAATTTTGAAAAAAATTGGAATCGATAAAACGATCAATATAATTGAATGTTTGAAGATGATTTCATGCAAATGTTGGCGTCGGCTCCGTTTTAGATCGATATCGACCGGTATTTCACGTATAAATGCTTCAACAGTGGTTTCCAGAGCGTCAGTCGTTGCTGGTTTATCCCTGTAGACATGAGCCTTAACATGACCCCACAAGAAATAATCCAAAGGCGTTAAATCACACGATATAGGCGGCCAATTGCTTGTTAACGTATCCATTCAACCAGAATTGAGCCTCGTCGCTGAACACAATTTTTCGATAAAAATGTGGATCTTCCTCCAACTTTGCCAGCGGCCATTCACCAAATGTTTGACGTTGTAGGAGGTCATGTGGCTTCAATTTTTGCAACAGCTGTACATTATAAGGTTTTACACCCAAATCCTGCAAAATTGCAAAATTTTCCACGTAGTGGAGTAACAGAGGCCCAATTGCTGCGAACGGCGGCGAATCGACATTTCACGGTCATCACGAACACTGGCGGATACAGCCGCAATATTTTCTTCGGTCCTCACTCTACGTATGCGTAGTGGTGGTTTAATGTCCAATTATGTAAACTGGGTTTGAAATTCAGTTACAAGCTTTCGAATAGCTCCCTCAGTAGGCCGAAGAAACTGCCCATAAATTAGAAGAAGAGCACGATGCACTTTCTTCGCCGAGCATGAATTTTGAAAATAAAATTCAATAATTTGCAAGAGTTGTTCATTTGTAGGTCGATTCATCGTTAAATTATAGACCAAACTGAACAAGTTTGACAATGACACTAGACACGATTCACGCGTGATGTGTCAAAAACAGTGTTGCCAAAAATATACCAGCAAAAAAATCACCTATTATATGCGAGCGCTTTCGATAGCAGGATGTGCTATCATCTTCATGGCTCTACTCTGCTACTGAACGTTTAATCTTCTTGTTTGTTCTTTTATATGATTAGAATACCTTAGTGCAGGTATTTGTCCTTTCCTTTCATCCAAATGTATCTTTAAATTTGCCTGTACTTGGGTTACATCAGGTAATATCCTTTGTGTTGGTGTTTCTCTGGGTTAGTAGTTTCTAGGAATGTGTATTGTTTTGTGGAGTATATTGAATTTCAGGTCTTTTTATGGTGAATACTGGTTTTTCCACAATACTGGACGTTAATATTTAGTAAAATTTCAAAGAACAGCTGATAATTTACATACGAAATTGAAATATTTAATAAATACGCCTGTGTCACAAGAATTCAAAACATGTTTGTGTTTATCTATATAACTTATAGGATTGTTTTCAACTTAGTTTTATACAGTATGTCCATACAGTCCATACAGTGACGATTGCATTCATTATCAATTGAACGAAAAATTCGCAAAACTACTCGATTTTTTATTTTGAATGGTTATATATGAATATATTTATGTAGGAAAATCCTGGTTCACCTTCAACTCAATCTATAGAAAGGCATAAACATACTTATCATGGGTTCCCGTGATTCTGAGGTATCATTAAAACCAGTGTTGATGTTGAAATCGTGGAGGTGCTCAACATTGTTGTTGCCATTACTGATATTATTGTTATTATTCACTGCATACGTTCCACATTTACCTGAAAAATGAAAATTTTGAATATTTTGATATGTTTATCAAATTGTATTTTTGAAAACATTCGGTTCCTATTTTGGAAAATAATTAGGATATAGCAACATATGCATATATGATAGAATTGACCGTTACTTGATGAGATGAGATTTCCACTAGAAAGTTTATTAAACCGTGACACGTGTTTCGCTATAATAATAATAATATAACGCCCTAAGAGTGCTATATTAACGTCTACGGCACTCTTACGGTAATGACGAGACACCGGTGTTGCCCTACGCTCCGGGGGATATTGAATCCGTTGTGGGGAACGAGAAGTGCCGAATTTATTGGAACTGTTCGTTCCCCACCCCTCAGGCTCATGCAAGCTTATAAGCCTGATGTAGTCCTTCTCGACCACCAGAGCAAGACGATATTTGTCATGGAGTTTTCAGCTCCTGGCGAGACGATTATCGTCCGAAAAGAGGAGAAAAAACGGATAAAATATCGAGATTTTCTCTTCGAACTCTGTAGACTCTATCCAGACCACTCTGTCAAGATGTTTGCTGCGCTTGCCCAGGGCACATGATTCTCGGACTCAACGATCAGTTACTTCACGGTGTGGGGAGTGGTCATTGGTTGATAATGCTGGCGCGCCCTCCCGAATGTATCGGGGCTTCGGGGGATAGAGCCTGTCCAGCGTACACTACGATAAAAAAAAAAACAGTTCTACAAATACAAAAAATTTAATAAACATTTACAACGTCCATAGAAGTATTGTAACATATTTGAATGTGGTGAATATTCAGAGTAAAGAACAAGGTATTTCATAAATACAATTTTTTGTTTTTTCTTCGGTGTTGTTGGGTTTTGTATGTGTGAGTATAGATCTCAGTGTATTTTTTGTTTTTTGTATTTTTATCAAATATCGTTCTTAATGTCAATCTCTTCGAACTCACCACTCAAAGCCATAGACACGCGACAAGATCGCTTCAAATATTTTTGAAGCGTGTACACTGCTGGCATCCTATCTGAATACTACAATTGTCTAATATCTAATATTTGCGTTTCAGTACAAAGTAAAGCGCTTGGATGTCATATAGGTTTGTTGAGTATCGTTCGTAGGAACCGTTTTTGAGATATTTCGAGGGCATAGAGGGCTTACGATAGTAGCTTCTGACTTCACAATACTGTCTATAAATTCTATGTCATACTTACATAGTAGTTTGAATCATTATGAATATTACTATCTATCAAATCTCTACTTGACAAATTAATTACCTTAACTTTTTAGGAACAAGAAACAACTCATAAGACTGGAGAATAATGAATGACAATTTTTACCTGACCTATCATTTTAACCACTTTTAATATTTGTCCTAATTACCGCTTCATTACTTAACGCGTAATGGGGCCAGTTTGTCTGGCTTTCCTTTCTCTCACACATACGTCAGCGGAAGGCAGGCTCCTCCTCTCCCGTCGTACGACGACAGCAAGCACGTTATATTCTTTTATTATGTGAAACGTGGCCTGAAAATGATGATACTAATTTTGTGTTTGTACATCATTAGTATCATTATTTATTCTTACGAAAGTAACAATTGGCCAATGGTAGCTATAATATATGTACATACACTCGTGGTTCTTGTTAAAAAAATATATAGGACAAACCGGAAGAACTTTTTCCAAAAGAATAAAAGAGCATGGCAGTAGTTTTATGAACATAGAGACCAATTCAGTATTTACGAATCATCTTTTGAAAGACGGGCATGAGTTCAATCACGATTGTGGCGTATTGAATTTGAAAGAGAAGAGTCCAATACTCTTTCTTTTGGAGTGTTTAGAAATCAATAGATGTAGAAATTCCGGATTATTGCTTAATGATCAAATAGTTTCGAGTTGTTCCCCGACATTGGATTTCGATTGCATCGAGGAAATTGATAAATACGACAAATCTCAAAAGTAGGTGGAATGAGAGCTCAGGTAAAAATGTTATTCATTATTGTCCAGTCTCATGAGTTATTCCTTGATAGGTAAATGGTTTAGATAATGAATTCATCATGCAGAAATTTGACAGGTAGCAATATTCATGATGATTCAAATTAATATAAAAGCACGATACAGAATGTGTAAAAACAGTATTGTGACTAAAGATTCTGTCGAATAGCGAAACACGTGTCGCGGTTTATTCTTTGGTAATGTTACGTAAACTTTGATTATTCTCACCAATAAAGGATTGTTTAAAAAAAAGCTATTTATACGGGCTCATTTGGTGGAATCAAAAACAAAAATACTTGTATAATAGAATGTTGAATCCATAATAATCGCTACTCACCGTTTTTTGCTTTCATATCAGTAATATCAAGTTTTCCATTGAAACTAACACAGTTTTTCTCCTTCATTTTGGATACTTTCATGTGTTCCAAATAATAATCGAAACTAGTCCCGGCTATCAACAGGCAAATGATGATGATACTTGCAATACTAAAATAAGTAAATAGCTATAGAATTGAATATTCGTCAAATTCAGCTCGGAGGAGCATGATATGAAACTGCATAACAATAATTCGTTTTCATGGTTCGCTCAATTCAATAAAAAAGTAGTAACTCAAAGTTTTCAATGCAACTGATTCACGAATCAGAATTGAACATTTTACTTTCGAATCTTGTCCAGAGTTACGGTGGAGGTTTTACTTTGAGTATTTGTATCGTAGGATCTGTGCAAAGCATTTGACACGATTGACCATGATATATCACTTGGGAAATTGAATCGAATTGGTAATAGGGGTAGAGTTTATTCTTGATTCAGGTATTATTCAGCTGGACGAAAATAATTTGTATATATTGAAGAATTCAAATCTGAACTGGGGAATATTTCTTATCACTCACCACAAGGATATATTCTAGGGCCTATCCTATTTTCTCATATATTCAATTTCAATATTCGAGCCAAATTTACATGGTAACCAAAAATTTATTTGCTGACGACACCAACCTTATTTGTTTTTGAGAAAACAAAACTGAAATGAACGTTAAAATGAAACAAATAAATGTCCACAAATTGACTTAACCCTTGTTGTAGTAAGGGTAATATTATTTTTATCGTGCCCACCTAATCGAAGCCTACTTGACCTAATTAAATAATCAACTGTTTGACCAAACTAAAAAAAATAAAGAAAATACAGGGGAGAAAACATAGGAGATGAGTAAAATTATAGAGAAATGTTTGGTAAATATTTTTTGAGTTCTTTTCTGAATTTAATCATATTACATTGTTTAAATTCAGGAGGTATGGCACTGTATAATTTACACATATTGTATTGGAAGCTTCTTTCGAAGAGAGAGGTTCTGTGTGCAGAACTTGATAGCAGGTTTTTTTCCTGATGTTGGAATTGTGGATATCATTTCTGAACATTATATTCTCATGAAGATAATTTGGGCTTTCAGGCAATAGAATTTTGGGAAACTTGAATCTTTATCTCATTGAAAGCCATTTTGCAATAATCAAATTTACTATTATGAATAATAATAATAATAAGTTTATTCACATCAGAATGTTTACAATAATGGCATAAAAAAGAGTTTGGGTGTCATTTGCCAATAAACGGAGAAAACCCATTTAGGACCAAATGGTTGCGCATGTGCAAAGAATAGCCTTACAAGCAATACCATTTCAATAGACAAATTTCTTCATTTCTGGTATAAAAGGGACGATCGATTTTCTAAAATTAGTTCTTAGATAAGGATTTCAATTTTAAATTCGTACTCAAAAAATGATAATATAGAATTGACTAAAAGTAATCAGAATATCATGAAAAATGAGAAATAAGTTTCTATGTTTTTACCACTTTCATTTGTAACCGATGATAATGCAGTTTCTTCCTACAAGGACATTTTCAAACAATTACAATAAACTGAAAATAAATTCCAAATAATTGAGTTTTCAACCCTTGCTTGCATAGTGTTGCAAGCAAGGGGGTTTTCAGAAAAATCAATGTGGAACTGGCATTCAGTGGACAAGATGGAGAAATCTGGCACCTACGTCGATCCGCCTGACTACCGACCAAATTGATCTAGTTTACTCAACAGTTTTTAAATTAGCGTATCCACATTGTCACAGGTAAACAAATTTCAGGTACTCAATTGAGTTAAGAAGCTATTTTTACAGTACAGTACAGGTTGATTCATTTTCAGTTTATTGTAATTGTTTGAAAATGTCCTTAAAGGATGAAACTGCAGTATTTTTTCATCAGTTGCAAATAGGAGTGGTAAACACAGAAATTTTTTTTCTAATTTTTCATTATGATCTCCTACCACGTAGTAACGGCTACATCCATCAATTTATTAATCAATATCAGTAATATCAGACAAATATTTCAATATATACATACCTCAAAGCAATAAACGTCTTGTCCGTCCATATATTGAATTTATTATGTTCAGATCGCACAGCTTCAACTTTGACCGTTAATCTTTTTGCTGAAGAAGACGTTTCTTCCATAATTTTCTGAACGTCATCATCGGTGCATGCATGAGGTAAACATAAACCCACATGCAGAACTTTCTCCTGAAATAATTATATGGAAATAAATAGACTATCTTACCAAAACACATGACATTAAATCGGAAGAATACAACCAATAAATAAAAGAAAAACTATTATCACGGTTCGATATTGAGGCTGTAGCTGATGAACACTCTTACTGAAAACGAAGGACGTGTATAAACTATCTATACATTGCTGCATATTTGATATACCTACTTCACTAGTAAAGCTGGAGTTCACTAGAAGCCTCAACATAAAAAATGATATTGGAAATGGAGGACCGCTTGAATGCGTCATTGGTCCCGTTGCTGAACTGCTGACGAGAACGATAATTCCAGGTTTGACGGAGGCATCTGCAGCTCTGGTGACTCTGGAGTGATTCTGAAAAAAAAAGAACGATGTTAACGAAAAAATTTCAAATTCGGAATTGCGATTGAAAACATGTCACTGAAAAGCTGTCACGAAAAAGATAATTTCCCATATCAGATATTGAAATACATTCTGAAGAAGCTGAAGAAATCAAAAACAGTTTCCAACTTCAGCCCACTAGACCTGAGGAAAGTGAAAGTCAGGCCCTATGATAAGCCAAGGACTTCAATATTTTCAAAGACGACCCCATGCATTGGCTTATCCTTGTGTTTCCAAAGAAGTGAGATCTCTGTGGCTTTCAATTGAGCTTTTTTGCTGAACGGGTACCAACCCGTTTGGGGGGTACCCCAATTCCTGCTCTCTCATGGTCGCGGACTATGCAGAAAAGAGGACTACAAACTCAAAAGTCCACGGCCTCCCTGTTGTCGGCGAAAGTACAACTGTGGAACAAACGATGTGGGATGCAACTCCTATAGAGATGCATCATTTTTGGGGTCTTTACGTCGAGTTGATACAGCTCCTCCTGAGTCCTCTTCAATACTCCACACAAGTAGAGCAAGATCGGAACAGGAAACATATTTGTTCCCCGACAGTTTCGATGACCAGATCTGTCGAAGTTTGTGCTGATACTTGCCGCGGACAGAGTTCTTCACTGCTGTGATCCCCGACAGTTTCGATAATTATTTTATATTGCCATTCATTTCATTCTACCAGCTAGATATATTCAATCAAAATAGATATCATAATTTTTGACAATATATACTCGAGGATTCTAAAAAAGTTGGAGAAAAAGTGTCGTGATTGAGATGTGTCGTCAAATGTAGAATGTTAAGACATTTTTCAAATTCTGACAGAACAACATTTTCTGATATGTTTGCCAAGTGGTGAGAAGTTGAAAGTTTTCATAAATAAGATGATGAATGCAATTCAATCGATACATAAAAACTAGTCAACAGCAACTTTGTAGCCTAAATCATTTGATTTTAGGTTCATGGAGCCAACACCGAATAGCGCGGATCTTCTTCAAAATATTCTCAACGTTTCAAGGATATCAAGTAGTTTTCATAAATATTTCTGTAATTCGCTTCGTCGCATTAATTTTCAGAAATAGTCGACAGGTTGTCGACTATGAGAAATGTGAATTTGACATATTGAATTTTATTTCAGTAGGAACTGATTTCCAAATTGTAACATTTCGTTTTGTTAAAGAGCAACTAAATTCATGCAATTATTGCCACTGAGGGTTATTATCTTTTTTTTACCACATTTACTAAGTTGACGATCTTGATTGTTCTAGATTGATGCAGCATAAAAAATATTCAAATGTCGGATTAATGCATTACGTGATTATGCAATGACATATATTCAAACAAAGACTTGTAAAACATTCAAATCCTTTTTATGTTGAAATTTAAACATTGTCGTTGAATAACCAAAGGTAACTGATGAAAGAAATATTTTCATTTTAATGACACAATAATGAAGAAATATTGAGAGTTTCATTAATTTTACTTCCAATTTTATTAATTTTAAGAAAGAACTCTTTGCAAGTATGTTGACACGAGTAGTAGGGAAGTAACAATTGCCAACAGACAAAAACTGCTAGAATTTCTTTTACCTGTAAAATATGACTCTATATGACTTGCCAGAAGATTCAAGATTGACAGTCAATAAGACAGTTTATAAGTGCAATAAATAATCAGATCCATTTATGAGCCGTGAACAACTTGTGGAGATTTCAATATCGTTCAATATCGGAACCAGATTAGGAAATGGGTTGATAAGAAATATACATAGACGAGAAAATATTCGTGAAGAGACTATATGACAAAAAATCGAAGATCTGCTTGAATAAGGAAGGGATCGGCTCAGAATAATAACTGGGCTTGTCACTGGACACTCTCCATTCAGTGGGCACCTGAATGAAAATTAAGTGAATTTTCATTTTTCTCATTCTTAACTTGTGCCAGCGTTTTTCTTTCAAACCTCGAAGCAGTTCTAATGTGCTTTTTTTGGTATGTCCTTGAGCTCTCTCAACGATTCGGTTTTTATCTCCTCAATCGTCACAAAACGCCGTCCTTTCATATGTCGCTTTAATCATGGGATGAGAAAAAAGTCGCAGGAGGCCAAATCTGGTGAATACGGTGGTTAAGGCATGATTATGGTGTTGTTTTTGAACGAAAAATTACAAACAATGACGAGTGAGCAGGTGCATAATTGTGATGCAGATCTTTTCAGAAGTTCAGATGATACACTGGAGCATTAGGCCGCACATAATGCAATAGGTATCTTCCGTTTAAAGTTTGACCACGAATAAGTTCGGATTATCGGAATGCAGTGTTAATATGGTCATATTTGTGTAAACCATGCCTATATCTAATACATGCATTATGTAATTCATAGAGGGTATTCCTGTCCCTGACTTTTAGTGCAGGCCAGAATATCATATCGCAATTTGCATGCCTAGACAAAATTTAACCTAATTTTGATATCCTTGAAGAATATCCTTGGGCATATACAATACTTCTGCAATTTACCTGGGAATTTATGATTACGTGCTTCTTGGGGGCGATGTGTTCACACAAGTTTTGTGAGCCCGTCCAATAAGTGTTTCCCCAAAACCATCCTGTCGAATATCTTCCGCTTGCATCATCCACTGGAAAAGAAAATTAGTTTAAATACGCTGTACTCACAATAAATAAAAGATCTTCATAATACGTTGGCAGATAATAAAATAGAATATATAAAAAAAGTTCATGAGTTCATTCATACACAAAAACGTTTCCAACATACTTCCTGTTCTTTACGTAATTTTAATATTTTGTTTTTTTTTTTTAAATGAAGCCACTTTTTCTGTTGTTTGTTTTATAATTTTGATTATCTGACTCATCAGTAGGAAAAACCTATCGAAATGCTTTTGCGTAGACTTATTTGGAAAGTATTTTGTTTATTAATTCAGCTTGAAATTTGTTGTTCACTGCAATTTGCTTAATGATATTGAGATCTTCATTAAAATTATCTATTGAAAGAGGAATATTGACTAATCTATGAAACCTATTATAAGATACTATTTTGTGTTGGTACGGATGCGTAGAATGGGGAATGTTCTTCCTGACGAAAATCATGTAGTTTTCATAAAAGAGCTCTAAAACAACGCATTTTAAACTTATCATTTCAACCTTCATCATTTCAAAAATTATTTAAATACTTAAAAAAGACGGATGAAATAATGCATTCAACATTTGAAGGGATTCGTTTCTATTTCACCATTCGGCAACATCGGTTATAGCTAATAAAGGACAATGAATCTGTTATCTGTATGAGACAAACAAAGATGACATATTTCTGAGGCGTGCTGTTCTGTGTACTTATGTTCCGAGTTCCGAGACATTCTGTGACATATGATATTTTGTGCACCTAACCTATCTTCCTCTATATAAATAACAAAACAACTGTTGTTTATGTGGCTTGTGGAGGTGGTATTGAACTATAATTTATATTTTGCCTCAATTGTTGATTTATAAAGATAATTTTCCTTTTTTAAAGTAGAATATC